ACGCGGGCCCAGTGCGAATTGGTGGGTGCTGACGACTGCAGACACAGCGGGACTAACGGCTTAACGTGCCTTCCGTAGGACGGAGGAGCTCAAGATACTAAATTATTTGGTCACCCATCCAATGACCGACCACTGCGAAAGTTGCTTAACTTAAACGATCGCAGCAAAACGCGCTAACCACTTGCGCCATCGAGCTGCCATCAATATATCTCTGATTAATTTGGATTCTCTGAGTAAAAACAAAGAACACATCCAATAGTTTTTTATTCTACCTGATAGATGAAGAAATTAAAATTGTCATCGTCCCCATTATATGTGCATCCACTGGCAACGATCATTTACCGACATACAACGTTGTTTTAAAAAATCTAGTGTAAGTAAACGCTTTGTACCGGCTCTATTCCATTCATAGGGAAAGCCTGTGCCCCTGCAGTGGGGACATTATATTATAGGCTGATGATGATGATAGATGCAGCACCTCAAGTAACACCCACCAATCCGCACTGGGTACGAATATCACCCACCAATCCGCGCTAGGTCCGTTATCACCCACAAATCCGCACTGGGTCCGTTACCACCCACCAATCCGCGCTGGGTCCGTTATCGCCTTCCAATCTGCACTGGGTCCGTTATCACCCACCAATCCGCGTTGGGTCCGTTATCAGCCACCAATCCGCACTACATCCGTTATCACCCACCAATCCGCGCTGGGTTCGTTATCACCCACCAATCCACACTGGGTCCCTTGTCACCCACCAATCCGCGCTGGGTCCTTTATCACCCACCAATCCGCACTGGGTCCGTTATCACCCACCAATCCGCGCTGGGTTCGTTATCACCCACCAATCCGCACTGGACCCATTGTCACTCACCAATCTGCACTGGGTCCCCTGTCACCCACCAATCCGCGTTGGGTCCGTTATCACCCACCAATTCGCACTGGGTCCATTAGCACCCACCAATCCGCGCTAGGTCCGTTTTCACCCACAAATTCGCACTGGGTTTACCCTCCAAAGTCAAGCGTGCATTCTAGTGGTGAGCAGTGTCTGAACACGGCTATATTCCTTTACAATATTTATGTCTAATACTGACTACTCTAATACAATAAAACTGCTGACAGTTTGGCATAAAAATTGTAACAGACCGACAGAAGTATTCGCTTAATAATATTGCTAAGGAGAGGTTATACAGTATAGAGCTATACAGATATGTAACAGTTTCATATCCCCTTTCATATTACTAGTTCTTCCGTAGTTTACGAAATAAAACGAATGATAGGAAGAGGACAATATAATAGTCGAACGGTAAGTTTCGTGCGTATCATGAAACACGAAAAATATTTACATGCAACGCACGCCATCAAAGCAACGACTATGAAATAGATACATATTGATATATGATATAGCTTTTATTGCTATTATATAGGTTAGACTAGACTCTGCAAGCGACTTCGCCTGCGCATACGTTTTAGAATTTAAAACTTGCGATGAGTATCAAAATTTCAGTACGCCGTGGACTACTTTCTAGGTTTTTCAGCCAACAGGAACCTAGTATTTTTCTAGGGTAAAATGCAATCTATGTCCATTTAATAAATTATTGGTGTGCTAAAGTTCATGCGAATCCATTCAGCACTGTACATAATCTGGAAGCCGGGGTACTTAGTACAAGGTGCTAAAAAAACAATTGCCTTTGTTTTGTTATTTGTTACTTAGATCTACGTTGAGACGATGAAATAATTTATAACACACGCTACCTAATGGATTTTGTTGCAAATCTTAAACATCCAAGGAAATCACTCAGGGACTTCAAAAATTGAAATCTAGCCAACCTTGTTATAGTTGTTCAGTAACATAACAATATAAACAAGGCCAAGGAACTATATAAAGGACATTGCTCGTTCCCGATACATTGAATGCCCTAGAAAGTACAGCAATGAGAAAATGCTAGTTGTGTTCGGAATCATTCATAAACTATAATTAGGCATTTGTTGAGATACGGACAACTTGAGGAACCGTGGCCTATTACAGAATGTATAACATTTTGAGGTTATAAATATTATACTTAATCGTAAAAGATGTACACTTTATATATTCTGAATAGATTTAGTGTTTACCTCTATGTAAGCACTTAAATAATAATGCATTAAATGAACATAAAATGCAATTAATAATAAAAATAGTAAATGCTTATATTCATATTGATTTATTAGTGTTGGCAGTTGGCACCTATGATACCTATACCTACCTGTAGTAATAATAGATTTCTTTTCAAATGAAATGTTCAGTCTTTCAATTTACCTGTTTCTATATTTTACTGTCGGTAATTAGGTCTGTACTGGTTATCATTATGATTTTCATAAAAATAAACAGATATTACATGGGAGTATAAACTATCTTTACATAATTTCAGAAATAATCTCTTTATAAATATAATATAAATACTAGTAATATGTATTATTAATTAAGGTACCTATTTCTATTTTTATGTTGATAAATACCTATGATCGCCTATATTGGATTTATTAAGGTAAACAATCTTGGCACAACTTTTTAACAAAATTTCCCATTTAAAAATAAAATATTAACGAAGCCAATAAACTATTAAAATAAATCGTTATTATAGACTGAAACCTATTGAATCCAGTTATCAGTTGATTTTTAATGCTGTATTTTCAATAAAAAGGAGTGCCAAGATTGTTAACCAAATAGGAGAAGTTGGATGAACAGACTGTAGTATCTAGTGACAGGCCTTTTATTTTTTATTTTTTTAAACAGATTGTCCGTTTACTAAGATTAATTGCTAATAAGTAAAAAAAATAATAGAAATATAACAGTGAAGGACATTCTATTGGACATGCAAGGGCCGATTTCGTCCATTTCCTTTATTTACATCTAATGTCATTTAATGAAAAAAAAGGACGGGTTGCACTCCGAGAGTGCCGACAGAAGTGAAAACGTTGTGCATTTTTGATATTTTGGACTGGTTAGGGAATAATTTTGCACGAATTGCTTTAATTATCAGTAAAAAAGTACTTTCATTAATGTGGTAGAATACAATGTTTATTTTTTGCGCTATCGTACACAAACATGACAATTTATATTACATTAAAAAGTTTATCTTTCAGAAAAATCAACTTAAAACTTACGTTTAAGCGCACCTAGCGACATCTATTGAAAGAAAAATGCATTTTCTTCCCAATAAAGCTGCCACCAGGACGTCCAAGATAGAGACTTATTATTATAATACGATAAGAAAAAGTAGTGCTATGTTTCGTCCAATGAAATGAAAAGTCATTTATTCAGTCTAGGCTGTTACAAGCACTTATGAAGGTCAAGAAGCTACGCCATCGGTTCGCAAAACTACGGCGGGAGACCTTGTACTGAGAAGAACCGGCAAGAAACTCAGCAAGGGCTGCTTTTTTCTCCCTGTATTGATATATACAGAGTCGTCAGGTTGAAAAATGACTTTAGAGATACTTCTGAAGTCACCTTCCATTACATTATTTAGGATATAGATATATAGTTACTATAAATTTTATATTTAGTATATAGGAAGCGGCATTAGATAGGTACCATATTCTTGTTACAAAAACTGACTCATACCCATCAAATAACAAATTACAAGAAACACTATGTCCATGCATTTCGATCATATAAATAATCATTAACTTTATAATAGCCCTTAATCATAAGAGTATTCTTAATCTGAGATTTAAATTTGGTTAGTGGAAACTCAATCAGATCTTCGGGAACTTTGTTAAGCAATGCAATACTACATCCCAGAAATGAACCTCTTGATTTGTGGAGTCTGAATCATGGAACGGCAAGCTTGTTTTTAAATCTCGTGTTAAAGTTATGGGTTTGACTTTTTTTTGCAAATGCGTCATAGTTTTTTCTTACATATACTAAATTTTCATAAATGTATTGCGATGCCAGTGTTAAAATATTAATTTCTTTAAATTTTTCTCTAAGAGATTCTCTTGCCTTTAAATTATATATGGCGCGAACAGCTCTCTTTTGTAGTACGAAAATACTTTCTATATTAGCAGCTGAGCCCCACAACAAAAGGCCATATGACATAACGCTATAAAAGTAACCAAAGTAAACCAATCTTGCCGTTTCCACATCAGTTAGAAGTCTTATTTTTTTAACAGCAAAAGCCGCAGAGCTGAGAATATATTGAAAGTCAACAACCTTTCCAATTTTATTGTTTTCGTCTTACGAATTTTCGATTAGGTCACGTGTCCTGACGCGAGTTTAACATTTTTTACCCATTACATAAAAAGTGTACAACGCCGCTAAAGAAGTTTTCACTTCAAAAATGAATTGGCGTTTTGATTACATTTCTTTAAAATTTTAAGTGTTTTATTATAATATAAAACGCGGAACCTATTAAGAGTCTGTACTGTACTGTAATGTAAATTGAGTACATGAGTAAAAAGAGGCACAAGAGCAAGGCTTGATGCAGTGCCCGTGTGTCAGTGTGCACTGGCGGCCCGTCACTGCCAATAGGATCGTTTCTAGCATAAAAATGGATGATGACGGGATAAAGTAAACAGAATTCTATTTAGTCCGTCAGTTCCATTATCAAAAAAATAATGGACACTTACTTTTTCATTTGTCAATCAACCGAATATGACCATTATTAAAGCGTGTTTGGCGTCAAAGTTTGAAAGTGGCGGCTCGTGACGTCAATTCAAAGAAAAAATTGTACCGAGCCGTGAAGTCGTGCCCCAATTTTAATCTATATATCTCTGCAATGTTTTGATTATTTGAAAAAGGTGAAATTCGTGTCCAATGCTTTTTGATAATATGTATACCTGATAGACGAAGAAAAAAAGGGAAGTTAACATCTCTATTGTATGAAGAATTGTCCATATGCCTTCTTTAATTCTCAAATTAAATGCTAAATAATATAGTTATGACAAAAAATTTCACCCCCAGTGGTAGGACAATGATGGTTACAATCATATCGGCGACCAACTGTTGGGTAATAAGCAGCTAGACCCTGGACTTCCTGCGCCTAGACTTCATAAATCTCTCCAGCTCTGAAAAAGAGTTTACCTCCAGCGGTATGACAATGAAGGTCACCATCATATCGGCGATCACCTGGTACGTCGTCAGCAGGTTGACCTTAGACTTTAGCAGGGAGGCGTATACGGCTACGTTGCCAATGGCGTCGACACCAGTTAACGCGGACGATGTAGTAAGAAATAAATCTCTAAAGTTAAAGTACTCACCTCCAGACCTCTGAGGAGATCAATGGTGCATTTGGCTAGCGCGTTCGGCCTGCAAGCGTGGTAATTAAGCAACTTTCGCAATGGTTGGTCATAGGAGGGGTGATCAACGACTTATTTTCTCGAGCTCGTCTTCCTGCACTTACACCTCAACAGGGACGTTAACTATGGCACCGGCCGCCAGTTAAAGCGGCGAAGTCGTGGGCGAAGGCTAGTAAGAAATAAATCTCTCAAGTAATGATAGAATCTTACCTCCAGCGGTATGACAATGAAGGTCACCATCATATCGGCGACCACTAGGTGCGTCATCAGCAGGTTGACCCTGGACTTCCTGCGTCTGGACCTCAGCAGGGATGCGAACACAGCCACGTTTCCTATCGCACCGGCCACCAGCAGCACACTGCACACAGGGCACCCGTTCGATTCACATATTTTTTTAATACCTTGTTTAAATTTCGCATAGTAATACTTTGCCATAATATGTTTTGTGTAAAAAGTTCTTCTGTTGAAAATAAGTTGTTCTGTTTTAAATGTTCTGTTTAAGTTTATTTTAACCAACTTCAAAAACGAAAGACAGCAGTTTTATTGACTTTGTGATTTTATGCCATTATAGATTTTTCATGTTTCTATTTTGTTTGAAAAGTTCAAAGTCTATTGGTATAGTTTCTATTGGATAGTTTTCTATTAATTTTTATGGTAAACATCTGATGAGTACTTTGATGGACTTAAATAAGAAAGTAGTTTCTCCACCTGCGCTAGTACATTGCTACATGTATGTCTACCATTGCTCACTAAGGAATGCAATGCCGCAAGATAATTTCAATCCCGGTATTTGCGGGATAGACCTCGTTTTTATGGTCTTAATTGTGATACAAAAAACACAAAGTATTTAAAAAAAAATACCTTCTAGAGTCTGTGCGGAAATTAGAGTAGATTGGAGGGCGCTGTAGTGCTTTTTTACCGTATTTGTAAGGTTTTACCCCTTTTAGATATGATTAAATACAAAAAACCACAAGAAATCAAAACAACAAACAAATCCGTATCAATACAAAACTTTGACGTTTTACAGATTGCTGGGTTTGATTGCCAAATAAAAATCTTAATGTTAGTTCCGTTTTTCGCCACGCCCATTCTCTTTCCGCACAGACTCTAAACGGGATGCCGAGCCAGACTGAAACGTGTTATGGGCAAAACAAATTCTGTTTTAACAAAATGTAAAAGTTAGCGCTCACGTTTAAAAGTGTTTAATTAAAAGAGCAACAAGAAGGATTCACTTTATAATTCAATCATTTTACATAATTAACAAATACTATAAATTGAAAAAATAAAATATTATATTACTAAAATTCTAGGAACACTGAATTATTCGCCCATATGATTCGCGCGTTAAGTAACACACATGAAACACGCTTCTCTATAATCCCGCCAGTCCAGCGGAGTCCCGCAAATTTTTTGACCGATATTAGATCTGCAAAATGTAGGCGGGATCCCGGTATTTCATTCCCTATTGTTTAAAAATATGCGTAAAGAAAAAGAAAAGACCATTAAGATACTTATGTATAACGAATATTACGACAAAGCATTACTATGACAAAATTGTGACATAAAATGTTATGCGAATTAATAAGGGACCTGTAAACTGCCACAACAAATTGCTCAGGCGCCGGGATAGTGATGTCACCTCCATCAGTTACATTATCCGAGCTCTCCATATTGAAATAATCCCAAAAGTTGTTTTCCACTATCAATTGAGAGACTTCACTGACATTGCCGTACATTTTTTTTCAAAGACCGATTCAACAAATCCGTTTCAAACGTTACTTTTGTAGTTTGTAACACCAGTTTCATGTTAGTTTGGTTTTCTTAAAATTTATGTGCATCGTTTTTACACACACACACACTATTAAACTATTGAAATCCCACTTTAAACACCAAAAGTATAATAAGTAATAAGTTTGTTTAAATACATTTATTATACCTATACAACTAACTGTAGGTGTTTAATTTCTAAAACAAGCAAACTTTGGCACCCGAAATTGGCAGAAACTTTTTTCACATGCCAAGACTAGTCGATTTTTTGGCACATTTGTGTACGTCACATCACCCACTTTTTAATATTGCACTTAAAAAGTTTTCTCGTTACAGCACATTAAGAATCAAACGGTATGGTAACACTCAAAGGTATTTATTTGGCTTTATTATTATTTTCAAGGTCAATAATTATCAACTATAACTTTATAAATATGTTTGAGAACGAAAATTTCCAACTCTAACTTTTTACAATACAGAACTTTCGAACGCGTACTTTTATAACTGCTACGGAGGCACGTAGCACGCCTGCTCGTAGCAACACCGTAGCCACAACTGCCTGAAGTCGGCGCTGTTACGGCGAAATGTTATCAATGAAGGAATACGCCATTTATTGGAAAATATATCGCAAACTATATTTTCATTGATACTTTTTTTTTATTTCTGTTTAAATGTATTGTTGGCGTTTGACACAAGCTAATTATAATTTATACTTAAATGAATTATCATTCCAAAACATTATTAATGCCGTATGTAATTGAAGTTTGTTGTTTAGAAACAAATAAAGCGTATTATTGCCAGCCCACCGCGTACGTACCAAAAAAGACTAGTATTTTTTGAGATTACTTAATGAATTTCATATTGTAGTTCTTTGGAAAAACCACGAAGGGTGGCGATAGGAAATGCTTCTAAAAGCACTCAGTACGCGAACAGCTCGGTGCAAATGTGTTAGTATGAACCCCAAGTTTGTTTAGTTTTGTGTTCCAACACTGATTTAAGTTACCACAGCTCTACAGTGTGGGGTATAGGGTCAGGGACGGCAATACGTGAGTTTATTAGGGTTCCGTACCCAGAAGGTAAAATTTAACCCTATTGCTGTCACTCTGTCCTCTTAATCGAACACGAAATGAGAACTGATATTTTGGTATTTTATGTAAAATGTTTGTCCAAAGATCTCCCCCCCTCCCCCCCTGGTGGTGATCATGGCCCATATGGTGTATTTAAACAACAAATACTGAAAGCGCCGACTCATAAGTTGTGACGAAAACATACAAATGATTTTTCTCTCCGCAGTTTCCTGCGATGTCTAGTTTGCTCGAAAATTATAACGGCAACAGGTAGACGCTTGAAATATTTACAGACGATTTTTTGCCGTTTTTTGGTCGATATTACAATACCCCCTTATTAATAAACGAAGAATAAGTTTGGATTAGTTACTCTATGTTTTGTTTTTGTTCATTAAATGACAAATGACATTTGAGTGATAGTAACAAACACGGCATAACTAGTCTAAGCTTATTGCTCCTTTATTAATAAGGGAATATGACATACTTAGACACATTGTGTCTAATCTTATGAAGATTTTGGTGTTGTGTTGGTACAGAAACCTTCGTACGCGAATCCGACTCGCACTTAGCTAGGTTTTATAAATAGGTCTGAACAGAAGGCTTCCACCCAGTGCCGTCTTTGACCTATTGGAGGCCCTGGATATATTAGAATAATAGGGCCCCTATGACTTCCGTTTGGTGATTTAACAGGATCTAGGGTCTTTGTATTTGATCTGAGGGGGTCGAGGGGGAAAGACGGGTCTGCTTCCACCCCCTCCTGATGTTGTACCTACCACAGCAGTCATCCTCACCTTGTCCGCTTTGTTCTTCACGCCTAATTTAAAGGACCCTGGTTTCAAGAGTGGAAATACAAGAGCGAGCACAGTATACAATTTACGGATATTGACACAAAGAAATCTCTTTGCTCGCGTTCAGAGGCCTCTCTAGCCCTTGTAGCGCTAGTGTGTCATCATAAACCTAGCGCTATTTATTTAAACGCGTGGTTAAAATGTATTCGTGGAGTGACGCTCGGCGCCCCCTGAGACTGTTGCGCCCGTGTGCAACGCACAACCTTTTTTTTGTGTCTGGGAAATGCCTTACGCTTCAACCACTGGAGGAGCGAGAAGAAGGTATGTGGGACTCCTCCCTGTCCACTACAGCCATCCCTGAGGCCAGCTGAAGTGTACAGGGCCCTACCTACGCCCTGAACAGGGCCACTAAAAACCAGACAATATCCCTGTACCGTGTCACCCGATCCGCATTGCTAGGACCGCTGTCCTAGCTGGGAGTGCGGGACCCTGAGAAGACAGCCCGTACACCCGCATGCAACGCACAACCTGCACTATAAGTAAAGCTGCCTCTGTTCGAGTTGGAATAGTGGCCACAGTATGTCGGTTATATGACACGTCATGTCAACAAAGGCCTACGCAGAGGTTCTCTGGAAGAAAGGAGAAGGAGGGATAAGAGCACAACTCCTCAGAACACTCGCCGTGGTATAGACGATACTGGAGGCCTACTATAATTCAACGAAAAACGAAATTTCGCACTTTTCTTACTATGTTTCTATTTCGTTTTTATTTATAATAATATTCATCGTCGGTATATAGATTGAGGTGTAGATTTTCTAAGCCTACTCAAATAAAAGCTTCAAGTTGATAGTTTATCGTTCAAATTAAGTATAAGCTTAAATTGACGAAATTAAATTTCGTTCGAACTTCCTTATCGAAAGTTCGTTTCGGAGGTAGAGAGGAGACCCCCTGGATACTTGGCGTTCTAGCACCGAGCTTTATGCGCGGTTCTTTTAATGAAAAGGTACGCAATGGCGTACAATAAAAGGCGGGCAACCTTTTTCATGTTTTTCCAGTAACATTTTCTTTACATTCAAAGCAGCTAAATGCTTAAAATACTAGATTTTGGATACTTAGGGTTTATGCTCCAATACATCCATACAATAAAAAATCATGTTATGAATTTATCTGACAAAATCTCTCATATGTGTAGTATTCTCGTACCTCGTACGGAAGATCAGAAATCTCGTATTCGTACGAGAATTCTCGTACGGTTGGCAGCCCTGGTGCCAGCCCATTTGCCTTCATAAAAATTAAAAAAAAAAAACTCTGGTATCGTACTTCTAAATATAGGCTGTAGTAGCAACTACCCTCGGGCGGGATTTATGCTAGTTTGGCAACCTTTTTGCATAAATTTGGAGGGCATCAAGACGTCTAGTCGCCATTGCTCACTTTAATGGTGTGGTTTCATTTCATCACAGTGCCTTGACGTTCCGCCCACACGAGTAAAACCGGCAGCTTTTGTTAGTTAATAATATGCAAATCTCCGGACATCCGCTGAATTTGAATACGTTTTCCCCTGGTGTGACGACGAAATCTATTAAAGTATACGTTGATGTACCTATTCAGAACTGTCGCAAAAAATATTAATAATAAATTATAATTGAAGTTCTTTATTTACAGAATTACAATATATAGAAATACAATAACAACAACTTAAAAATTACCTAATGTATAAAATTTAAATACAAATTACCATAACCAAATGAGGAAATTAATTGAATTAATTAATTATAATTATGATTTTACGTACAATTTCAAACATAAATAGGAAGCTGTTTGTTCTGATCTATAAAGGATTTACAACTTCAAAGATTGATGAGACAATGTAACTTTTGAAAGATGAGCACTGCACAAGTTCCGAGGAAGATTACGGCAAACTTTAAATTACTACAATGCTCTAAAGTTACTCTGTCATAATGATAAAGCGAATTGTAAATTTACATCTTTTACAATTTAAAGTGTATTGTTTCTGCTGTACACATTTTTCGAAGTGAAAACATCTTTAGCGGCGTTGTACACTTTTTTTGTATGGGTAAAAAATGTTAAACTCACGTCAGGTTAAACACGGGGGCTGATCGCATCATGACACACAATAAAATTGGAAAGGTTGTTGACTTTCAATATATTGGACGAAGCATAATAATATTTATATTTTTATATATTTGTATTTTTTTATATTTTTTGTGTAATATTTTATTTTACTGTATAATAATAATAAGTCTCCAAAATATCAAAAATGCACAACGTTAATATTCAAGTTTTCACTTCTGCCGGCATTCCTGGAGTGCAACCCGTCGTTTTTTTCCTTTAGGTTTGTATAATTATGATTTTTTACGTAAGTACAATATATATATTATATTCTTAATACCGTACAATCATAAAAATGATTAACTTTAATATTTATTGAAAACAAAAATACAATATTTAATGCTGATTAACCATTTCCCTTTCTACGTTTTCTATTATGTAAAAGCATTCCATGCTGCTAAGTAATATGAACACTAACTCTGCTGCTATTTTCCTAGTCCGGGCTAGAAATAACTTGCGTGTAAAGCATATATAACATACTAACTTACTTCCGCATAAGTAAGAATGGCTTTATGGCTCCCTAAAGCCTCCACCAGGCGGCGGTGAGATAAAACAGCATTAAGACGTTAAGAGAATAAATAAACAAATATATCTTTCATTTTCATTTCATTTTAAGCCTAGCATCAGTACCGCGATATATTTAAGTTGTTTTTATAACGATAAATGTCAAATTACTAGGTACTTAGACAGTTGGGCGCGATAAAAAACCTGGCGGTCATGCTACGGGGGCTGGAGTCTCTTTCGACAAAGTTGATTAGATATTTCATTTATTTATTACTGACTAAAATATTAAATACTGAGATTACGAAACAAATCACTTAAAACTATTTAATCCATTTGCTCTGTGTATTGACACATTTGCATCCCAGTATCAGCTATAGCATTTGCATCACATACAGTATCTCGTTTACGTGTATAACGCTGTCCCGCGTGCTGGATCCCGCAAGGTGGATCGTGCGTAGAGAACTTTAACATCAAGTGGAGCAGGGAAATTTGTTGGGCCTAGTATAAAAAAATCTTATTTGTCTAGTTTAACTTTACAGTTGCGTGAGGGAATCATAGTGCATTTTCTATTTATTTGATTCTTAGTACCTAATACAATGTGTAGCTATAAACATTGTCGAAAGTTAGGCAACATCTTATGGTAATAAAGAAGCTTTGTTAATGAAGCATTAAACTTTAGAGCATTGTAGTTAGTAACTTAAAGTTTGCCGTAATCTTCTTCGGAACTTTCGTAGTGCTCATCTTTCAAAAGTTACATTGTCTCATCAATCTTTGAAGTTGAAAATCCTTTAAAGATCAGAACAAATAGCTTCCTATTTATGTTTAACTTTTGTCAAATTAATAGAGATAATTTGTACGTCCGTTAATCAATTATAATAAGAATCAAGGCAAAATAAATTTGCAGGATGAACATGAAACTGGCATTATTATAATGATCAAAATCGAATTTATTGTTTTTCCGTAGCTTCAATGCACTGTTTCATATGGATACACCTAATTCTGAAAATATGTTATAATATGTTACATAAAAAGATGTTTAAGTTTTCCGAAGCCTCTTCGCTCATTATAATGCGAAGAGATGGCGCTGCCTTGCAGCTTAAGAATGGCTAGAAGGGCCGCGGTAGCATAATTGGTCAGTGCATTCGCCCGGATTGCGAAAGGTGTGGGTTCGAGTCCCGTCGGCCTGGTCCGCGTGGAATTTGTCTAGTTATATTTTCTTTAGATTTAAACATCAAGCAGTTACATGATTTAAAATAATAAAAATTATACGATTTTTTTATTATATTTATAATTAGGCACTAAACTATTTGTTTTATATGTAAAAAAAATATTAGCAAAAACATGAAAAAATCGTATGATTCATTAGGTATTTATGTTAGGTAGACTATGAAGAATGTTTACTAGAAAAAAAAACTCATATCGAAAATTCATTCATCTATCTACAGTGTGGAAGCTGGAATTGTTATGAATAATCATGATGCAAGACAAAACACTTTTTAAAAGTATTCCTGAACATCTGGCAAAATCTCATACCAATAACTTTTCACTGTGCAATGCACAATTCAATTACCTATATTGTAATAAGATAAAGATAACAGATAGAGAACATACGTACCGAAAAATAATTCGCTCGCATAGAATTTTGAATTTAAACAGGTGAAACTAATATAAACAAAAGCTTATAAAAACTATCACTGGCCTCGCTCTATTCGGGTTCCGTAAATTTATTTGTTTGTTATCGTCATAACTTACAAATACATTATGAATCGGCGTTTTCAGTATTTGCTATTTAAAAATAACATAAATATGCCAAAACTTCACATTCGTAACTAGTATCGATTTTGAGATAGACCCCGTAACAAAAATGGCGCCCCATTTCTTTGTTTGTTGTTGAAAATAAAAAAAAATATATATATCCTAATTAACGAGACCTAAACACAGACCCTCCCTATAGATGGATTGGCCGTGACCACGCGGGCTTAGTGTAGATTTGCACTGGTGCTCACGACTGCAGATGCAGCCGGAACCTACGGCATACCGTGCCGTTTTGGTCACCCATCTAATGACCCGCCATTGCGAAAGTTGGTTAACTTTCACTATCGAAGGCCGAACGCAGTAAACATCTGCGCCATCGAGCTCCGCTATTAATTTTTTTATCATTTATTAATGTTTCAAATACCGTTCAGTACGTATTAACTGGTCGAATGAATATGGGCACATAATCTTATCAAATAATTTTGTTATCGAAACGATTAAATTATATTTATATCGGTACTTCTAGCTAAGTAGGTATACGTCACTCATTAGTCAGTAGATAAATAAATACAAAAGTGGCGAATACTGATTTGTTATAGAAATAAAATAATTCATATGAATTACGAGTGTTGGCGAAGTTATTAAATGCTGTTTGGTTTCTCTGGTTTTGTGGAAGCAACTAACTGTGTGAAATTGCTGGTGATGTATCTATAAACGGGATGAAAATGTATGTACTTCTCGATTCTGTACTATAGTGTGTCTATATTATTTATAACATATCTAAATAATTATCAAGTTGTTATAAAATATAAGTACTTATTTTAATAATCACTGTAAGGCTTAGACCCCATAACCCTTGTAATAATAGCGTAGATTGAAAAAAAAATACTTCCCTTTTCCTTTTTTAAAATAATAGCAAAACAAGAGATAATTATTTGACAATAACTCAACGGCTGAATTTGGTTCGATTTAAGTTCCAATTGAAGACATTAGTAAAGGACAATGTTAAAATTGGCCTAAGAACCAACACCAATTTGGCATCTCTTATCTATTAGACAAGTCCGTCCGTCCGTGGTGCTGTTTCAGCGGCCAAACCGTAAGAGATAGATAAAGAGAATGTTTAAGTTATAAGTTGAGAATAGTCTGATAAGACTACAAACCGGATGTGAGTAACGTAGCACTTCCGGTTTTCGAGAAATCACGTGATTTCTATTTCAAACGAAACCACACAAAATCTCCGAAGTTCTCAATTAATTAAATACATTTTTTTTTGGTGAACATTTGGTTCACTGGTTTGCTAGTTTATGATAATTCTTAGTATATTTTTTGCTATAATTATCAGTATTTAGATTGTGACGGACACTTCCAGTTAAGTAAGCTAAACTAAAAAGTTAATAAATAATCTGAGACAATAAATACCATTTTATGTGTATAATCTATGGCAGCGCTGCAAACAAAACACTCTTTCTTCCTAATGCCGGCACTTCACTCAGCTATTCGTATTTGCTATTTTAAAACATGACATCAGTCTGTCCTTTTCATTCCTTATTAAGCATGACAAGGACAAACTTTTGTCAAGTGAAGGGCCGGCATAAAACTTGTTACTCTGTGGTTGTGGTGCATGCAGTTTCATAGTAATCTGTGGCATTCGTGCCGTGCATTCAAAAGAGTAGTTTATTATACCTGAAAGTGCATTCTCGTTTCGGATTACCTGTTGTGTGTGTTTATTTGCGAATGTTTTTCCTATAATTAACTGTTTCGGCTATCTAAGATGCCATCGATGTTACCAAAGAGCAGAGCCCTTATTACCAAGTGCTGAGAGGAGCATACTGTCAAATTATTCAAGAACACCTAATACACATTCACGCTGCATATTTACATAATATACATGTAATATACAAATAAATACAATAAACAATATGATACAATTATGTGATAAATAGTCAATAAATACGAAGCAAAACTACAGTTTTTATTTTGTTCATGATTCCTACCTAACAAAGTTTTCCCTAATAGTTATTCTTTAAAAGCGCACCGAATAATATGAATTAATTGTAATATCAATTAACTGCATACTGAGTTCATACTAAATTCATAGGTTGACCTATGTTTCATTGAATATTTAACATAAACTCAAAAAAAAATAGTTTTCCAATTTAAGTTCTCAGAAGTGTCCGTCAATAATCTTTGTTTTTACAGTCATTTACTTACGATTTTGAACCTAGAAAATAATATTTCATGATTGTTGGTTCTTAGGCTAACTATGTATGGACGCTGAACAATGTCCTTTTGCCTTCCCATTGTGTGAACGGTACTAGAACAAATTAAAACTGTATTAATATGTACTATATGTATAATATATGGTAAATGTATAATACGGCAAGAACTTTGTTTATGTATTGTGTTAATTAAAACATGTTATAATGACTTATAAAATATGTCAAATAGAAATTGTTCTTAGAATATCATAATATCTTCGCAAGGCAACACTATAAATCAACGGAATAAAAAAAACGAAAAGTAACTGAAAAATATATATGCATTTAAAAAAGTCGGCTACAATCATCTCCCATCCAAGGATCAAACAAAGAGTTTCATTAAATGAATGCGACGAATAGCAGCCGAATTGCATTCTCATCTTCCAAATGCATACCTATATAGCAATTAAGTACTCAGCAGAACGTAAATCCTATCTTGAAAGCCAACGATCAGCTCGTAACGTTCACGATTCCGTAATGTAATCTGAAAAGGTCGGACCTCTTCGAAAACGAATCTAATGGAACCCGTTTCGGCTTTCAACGCATCGAATTAAACATACTTCGTTACTCGTGTTAGAGCTTACTTCCTTAATGATACGATGATACTTTAGGATGGTAAGCGGCAACCATAGCCTATAGAAGCTTGCGATACAAAAATATCACTCGCGCCGCTGCCTACTCAGAACCAACCCCCTACCCCGTGGAGCCCCGAAACTTACAATTTTCTTTTTAAATATAAATATGTATAAAAACGCACAATTTAGTCTCGAAAATCGAACCATTACAACTTGGTCAACCATTACATTACAGTCTTAGTGGTTGGTGGTACTAGCTGTCGTACAAAGAGATTTTCTTAAGAGAGAAGGTGGGCAAATCCCACTAACCACCCATGGCCTGGCGAACCTTCTTGGTTATGCAGGCCGAAGCAGCGGGAGATACGCGCGGAATGGTCTCCACCGCGCGTACTTTCTTGACTCCCTACAAATTATTCTTTATCTATCTCCTTGTCCCTATGGTCCCTCTCTCCTTTCTGGGGCGGACGTACACGAAACGCCTTCGACGCAATCCCAGCCGTCCCGTGCCCACTCTGAAGTGGTACCGCTGGCTCCAAATTGTACGGTCCTCTCTTCTTTCTTCGCCTCGGGTCTTCTTTCTTCACCTCTCGAGTCCACTCCGAATCCTGTGCCATGTACGCGCAAATCCCGCAGCTGCCTGAAGTTCGCCTCCGATCCCACAAGGTCGCAATAGTCGACCGGCCCAACCTCGAGGACCTTCACACTGTCCAGAAGTTCCCTACGCGCCTCCCCGTAGAGCTTACGCTCCCACAGAGCGTGGTATGCGTCCACTACTTCTCCCTCCCCACAGTAGCACGACTCCACCACCGCGAGCTTCATTCGGTGAAGCCTACCCCTGAAACAGCCATGTTCTGTCAGCAATTGCGAAGTTTCATAGTCAGGCTCGACCCAAGTGGTCTTGAGTCGGACCTCCACTCCCGAGAAAAACCTATACAACCCTGGTCCGGTGCGTCCCAACGCCCCTGCCATTCGGCAAGGACGGACTCAAAGAAGGTGGGCAATCATTTTTCCATATAAATGTTCTCAACCGATTCCTCCTTCATTTTTTAATACTAGATTAGCTATCTGAATCACTAAGTCCACGCGGACGAAAGCATCGACAGAAACCAACACCACCAAAAGTTTGTATTATTTTACTGTGGTCCTCTGTAAGGTGGAGGAGGTTACTTCTCCAGACAGGCGCTCCAATCCAAGCTGGAAATCCGCTATACCCTGTGTAATTTACTGTAATATTAACTGTGATATTCTAAGCGTAAACAAGCTAGCTGGTTGCAAATTCCTGCGGTTTATAACGTATGTTCCGCAATGTATCAGATTTTCGTAACAAAATCCACGAGATGGATTACTGCGATGTTAATACAAAATCAAATTATTTTCATGACGACAATGAAATTATACCATCGCGACTTGGTCTCTTAATCTCTCTCTTGTTAATTATGAGCGAGCAAATAGCATAAAATTGATCTCCTACTTATATGAAATTATGAAGGCAGCCACTGGCCGCGGCATGTTCGCTTCCCTTGCTCCTCGTTATTTAACCATAAAAATGGCATTATATTATTGTGGTAGCTTGAGAATTTAAGGTTTACATTAATAAATTTTAGGTATCTTTTGTAGAAGGCTTTGTGGTGGTAAGCCCGTAATCACGACCGTTGTAACCTAACCGGAAGGTCTGAACAAAATATACCTTATGGCCCTGTGTGCATATATATTTATGTATATTATAGGTACATTTCGCAGCTTGGTTGTAATTTTAATGGGAGAAAAAAAGTAATTAAGGCTTTATAAAAACCATACTGTTACAGATAATAATATCGAAATGATACCCTACGCTAACGCCGCAAACTTTAAAGAAGAAGATGAAGAGGAGAAATCCCCTTATGACTACGAAAAGACTAAGAGTAAGTTTTGTGTTATTATTGATATCAATTTAAAAGAATTTTAAGAATATCGAACAAAACGTTTCCTTACAATCTTACAAAAAAGTTCAATTTTAAACATCACTCTGTATGAAATAGTATGACGCACAAAAAGCCTTTTCTTTTTTTATGCCTAGCAAATTGTAATAAAATCTCGTTTTCATTGTAGGTATAGTATTTAACTCGCTGGTCCAAATGCGATTTTTTTGTTTTATTAAGTAGCTCGCGATTTCCCTCACGTGAATTAAGAACAACTTCGACTTCCTTATATCAGAGCATGAATTTCTTAAAATCCCTTGTTAATGCTCACTTGTCATTAAAAACACCTTGGTGAAAAAAATATTCTTGCGGACTTTGGGGGTTTCACCATTCAGTGTTTGTTTTTTTACATATTAAGTAAGGGAAAAAACTGGCTGTTTATGACAATATCTAAAAATGTGCCATTTTTTAAAATAAATATTTCAGTTTACTCTGGAGTTTGTGTAAAAAATATGACAAACCTTTTCCTCTCCTTATATAATAGAAAAACTAGATACTGGATATTTTTCTTTTTCTTTCTTCATATGCTTACCCGCTGCAAATAAAAAAAGCAAAGACCACCTACTTTTACAAAGGTTTGCCTTATGGCTATGATGGATGAACGTTATTATAAGTATTCTAAGAAACGAAAGTGTCAACTCAACATTTATATTTTCAGAAGTAACATGGTACGACAGAGTACTCCTGAATCGGCCCTCAAAAGTGATAACAGTACTCATTTTACTGGCTTTATTGGCACCAGTACTAATATACAGATACATATTTGTCTCCAGCAGAGATTGGCCTCCATCTGATGGCCATTCCTTCGGCTCCTGCCTCGTCCAAAGGTCAAGTAGATTGCCATGTGGCCCTGGCTACATACCACAATCGGATTGCCATGCACAATGCTGTTACGACTTGGACAACGGATTCTGCTTCCACAGATTTCCATCGCGATTTTCCTACATCATGGACCAGATGTGGAGTGAGGAGGTAGTTCTCAGACCCAGGATAGCCACCGTCCCGTTCGCTTTACAAAACAGCGTAACAAGCCTTAGACTCTCCATAGACGAGATATCTGCCACACATCTATCAATAACTTTTTACGACGCAAGGGAAATGTCTATACAAGGGAGAAGAATTGAGAACAAAGATTATAACTATAGGATTTCATCCCCTGAATTAAACGTGATAGTGGACGGTTTCAATAATGCGACAATTTTCAATACAGCGAGAGGAGCATTGATTGCGTCAGAGAATATATGGGAGATAACTTTCAAATTAACTGAAGGCATGATGATTGGCCTTGGAGAATTACCACTAAAGGAGGGAGATGTCAAAGTAATTTATAACTACGATGGTGGATTGAATTCGTTGCCATTGATTTATGCACAGTCTAACGAATCCTATCATGGTCTCCTTCTAGATGTGATCACACCAACTGAAGTTCGTGTAACTGGCGGTAACCAAATTGTTGTGCGAAGTATTGCCAGGTCGCAATTGAAGTTTCATTTGTTCCTGGGTCCGCAACCGAAAGATGTAATGAGAGATGTCATCAACTTGTTAGATCGTAAAAAGCACTTGGAATATTGGATGCTTGGCGCACATGTTTGCAGGTAAATATTGTTTTATTAATTATTCGTCAAAATCGTCAGTCTTTTACACTTAACATCCTTTCTCAATGTCGGACGCGCTCAATTTTTATTCCTGTATTCGTCCTTATCACTGAAATTCATAAACTTGAATAACACCCACTTAATTTAAAATGAGGAAGTCCATTGGTTCGACATTCGGAAACATTGAAGAATTGTTGCCAGAACTGAATTTGCTTATCTCAATGGTATCTTCATTATTAAAATCAAATGTCCCTAATCATTATTTTTTTATTCGAGTTATTGTTAAATCTTGAATGCACTTGACCGGTTTTTCAATAACTAAATATCCGTAGTAGGGGACTACATTCAAGTATTTTCAACAGTTGAACAAAGGTAAAACTGCTCAGTCTCAGCATTATCGGGTCAATATTAAAATTTTAATTTTGTCGCTGTTTGTGCTACGAATACGAGGCATTACTAAGCTTGTCTGTAATCATGTAGGTAGGTGCCTCCTGAGAAATTGACATTCAAATGTATTATATATGATAGGGGACACTGGGGACGTTTGATTCTAAAGGGATATTTTGTATTAGGTTATCATGAAGGCAAATTAGTGTCTGGCAGCATATGAGTAGTTATTGAAACTCACTAACTTTATACTGTTGCCGACCTTTCGACTTACTTACGACCTACACTTTCTTAAAACTAATTCAAAGTCGATGTATGTGTATGTGTTTGAGTATTTATCTTTAATTTAAATCCTTTGTAGCCTTCTCCTTCAGAGTACAAGGACTTCTTTTAAATATAACTATAATTATATAATATAACTATAATATTTACTTAACTTAAGTTGTTAAAATACTTTTTTACGCAAAATAAAAATATACGATTTTATGATGTATGAGGTATATACGTTAAATGTATGTAAAATATTTTATTTTCTTATTCATATGTATGTGCCAGCTTTTAAAATAATTAACTTAATGTTTCGCTGCATTTTCTATGTAAATAGTATTTAATATTTACTTATGCCAAAAGTGACCTTAAAAAGTATCCTTTTTATGGTTTGTTTACATTTTGTCTCACCCCAAAGTGAGATTATAGTGTGTAGATAGATTATAGTGGATTCCTAGCCTCGACTTGGTTTTGAAAAGATTGGTTAACAATATAAGGAAATATAAACAAGGAAAGTCACCTTTAATGCCTACTGTATAAGGTCTTAATTAAAACGCATGCGTCAAAGAGTTGTGATAGTTCGAAATGTGACGACTTATTGCTGCAGCAGTATGCGGAGCAATATAGAGCTTTATTTTTTTGCCTCTACGCGCAATTTTGAATGCGCTGTCAGCAATACAGCAGGTACGGACCGCGAGGAAAAAAGATGGCTGTATAAGCGACCTTGCATTTGAATATCACAAATATTTCTATTAAATCAGTATATAGTAAGCATTGGAACAAAATTTGCTTCAATTGCGTTAAATTAAGTAACATTGATTAGATACCTGTCGAAAAAATGACACTTCACATACTAAAAATATATTTTTCGCATTTTTTTACCGAGCTCCGCGGCAACTTGACTTTTCAACGGTCCGCGCATGACTGTGAACCAAGAAGTGCTTGAGTGGCGTTCAAGCACTTCTTGATTGGGTCACATTTTGAGCGCACGTGGTGTATCTGGGATATTTAAAATCGTTGGCAACGAAAATAAAATGCCATAAGTATCCAGATTATGTGTTTTTATTTAAATAGAGTATCAAATAAATCAAGAAAACCTATTCTGTTTTTTTTTATCATATACGCAGATAATTCATGAGAAATGTGCTAAAATCGAAATTTTCGTCGCGTCTAAGTAATACCGGCAAAAATGCTCTACTTCAACTTTAGCCCTAAGAAATATTATACACTTAGGCGCTTAGCAGACGACGGGGCGGGGCGGGCATTTTGTCCGAGAAGCAATAAAGACCGCGTCTGCCCGTCGATGTCTGCGGCTGCCCGCGCCGCGTACACAAAGCACACGACGAGCAGAGGCGGTCAGTTTAGGACGTTCGTTCTAGTGAATAGTCCATACTAAAAAGCGCGTGGTGCGGAGTGAGCTAGCCGCCCCGCGCCGCCGTCTGCGTTACTGCATATAAACTGGTTTGTATGATCCACGGCGGGCAGCCGCGGACATGCCGCGCCGCCACTGCCCGCCGAGCACCTGCGGCGCGGTCTTTTTGCCCTCTGTGTGCGTTTGAAGTAGTGGTCGTGGATCATACAAACCAGTTTATATGCAGTAACGCAGACGGCGGCGCGGGGCGGTTAGCTCAGTCCGCGCCACGCGCTTTTTAGTGATGGACTATGCACTAGAACGAATGTCCAGAACTGACTGCCTCTGCCCGTCGTGTGCTTTGTGTACGCGGCGCGGGCAGCCGCAGACACCGACGGGCAGACGCGGTTTTTATTGCTTCGCGGACAAAATGCCCACCCCGCCCCGTCGTCTGCAACACGCCTTAACGTTCGTCAAAAAACCAACATAGCTTTTCCCATGTCTTATCGCCTATCGACAAACAGATACACTTTCGTATTAAAATACTAGTGGGAATCCGTGACTTCATCTGCGTGGAAAAATTGGTTTCCCATACAAACTTCCACCCCCTTTTCACCTCATGAAAGGATGGTTTCTGGTATATAACTATCCTTTGTCCAGAACTCAAACTATTAACATACCAAAGGGCAATACCCAAAATAGGCTCAGCGTGGACAAGGTGCTTGGCAAACAACAATTTAACAATATTGTATTATTTATTTTTTAACCAATTTCTATAATCGTAATATAGTGGAGAGTTTGATTAATAATACAATAAAATTAAACGAAAATAATACGATCATTTCCTTTTATTAGTTATTTAATATCACATGATCGAAAACGGCTGTAATTGGTCTTATTTAAGTTAAAATTACGTGATGTCAGCGAAAACGCCTATGATTGGTCGAATTTAAGGAAGCATCACGTCATTTCAAAGAAAATGGCCGGGCTGACATGACATTTTTGTATTTTTTTTTTTTATATATGTTTTACGGCCATGGAGTTTCCCATATTGGCCAGTCATTAGTGGTATGTCATCTATATCTTGCCGAAAGTATATATAATGAACTCAAATAGTATTTCGTAACACTCTTGGTTTCTAATGATAGATGGCAAATGATTGGGGATATCGTTGTTTTTGTAGGTCTTAAGTAAGCCATCTATCAAAATTAGTCTTTGTAAACTAAAAGCTCCGCATTCCAGGATGAGATGCTGAAATGTTTCTATTTGTCCTGTATCACAATAGCGACACTTGTCGTCGTCTTCTAAATGCATTCTCTTCAGATGTGCTCGGAACTGGCCGTGACCCATTCGCAGTCTGTTTATAGTCGTTATGTATTTTCTTGAAGGATTTTTTAACTTAAAGTACCATGGTTTCTTGGGAATTTCATTCTGTATGCTAGCATACCATGCACCTTTTTCAAGTTGAGTCTCTTGCCAGTACGTGTGCCACTTCAAATACATTCTTGTTTTTAATAAAGATAGATAATCCGTAAAAGGGACGGAGGACTTCTTGTAGATTGGAATGTTTGGTAAGACATTTTTGTAGACAAGAGCCGCGTTCCAAACTTACGCCCCAGATGCAACAAATGGCATAATATACGATAGAAGTCAAAATTTAAACGTCAGAATGAAAAGTTACACTTGGAGCGTGGGTTTAGAACGCACCCAAGCTGTCGAAAGAACATTGCGTTTTTTTGTTTTAGACATTTGGTATTATTCATGTGACGTCGCACACCGGATAGCGCAATATAAATTTTTCGCGGCATATTTAAAGAATAGATATTAAATTTTTATTTTATTTTATTGTGTAACAGAAAATGTATGTGTGTTTAGACATCGTATTGGTAATATAATGACTTCGAATATTATAGATCGTTGCAAAAATTATTTGTTTGTGCTTATATTACCTATTTTCATCGCGGTGTTAAAAATTGTTTTATATGATACTGATACAAAATTATAATGATTCAAAGGTTCTGGGTAGTATAAGCTTCTTGCATTGTATAGTTTTACTAGTTAAAATGTCTGTCCATGTTAAGCCAACTTCCCATACAAAGTCGGCATTCAAGGGCGGATCCAAGGGGGGTGGGGGGGTCATGGGGGTCATGACCCTCCCCTTGGCTAGGTCCATCTGTACCCACTGTGACTTCACCACGACTATATGAACAGAAGTATGATATTCGTGTTGTCACTAAACCGGTTCCAAAGGAAGAGCAGCGCTGACCGCAACATTAGCTTCATGCTAAGTTGAAACCGATTTTAGCCAAATCAAATTTTTGATGTTTGATTTTTGTTTATAGATTCTTTTATTGTTCTTTTGCATCAAATAAAGTTATTTTTTGTTTTCCTTTATTATTTTCTTTAGGCATCAGACAGGATTCTAACCTGCAGCTTCCGCCCGCCCGGATAACGAATAGTGCATCCTGTCTGGTGTCGGAACCGAGAGATTTATTTTCTAGTATTTTTTTGTTTCTTCAGGCAGTTCTGAGTCATCTATACTTAAGGACATTTGGTACGACATCATGTGCTATATCTTAAGAGATACCTAGTTATTAAATCTACACACTGATGTCATCACAGTTAGCTAAAGTAAATAATTTCCACTTTTTTCATTATACTACTTAACTATATAATTTAAGAGCGAAATATCAAAAGGGGATCAAATGTCTGTTTCGTATCTATAAAAAGTATAAAATTTGCGCAAGTATAAATTAAATAGACTCCAAAGATGTCTTAGACAGACATCGTTTATAATGTGATTGCTATCTGAATATCATAAAGTGTCGCCTAGAATGTACTGAGTTTGAAACTATTTTTTAATTATTTCGTAATAGGGACCTATTATGAATGTATTTAAAGATCAGCTCAAAATCTTTCGCAGTGAATCTGATCTTACTGTTTTAAATGTTAATCGTATATATGTTATGTTTATATACGTATCTGTATGAATTTATGTATGTGCATGTATGTATATATGTTATGAAATTTATTTTTTTATATTTAATTAGAATACATAGGATTGATGTAAAGTTGTATGTACAGATGTGATTTATTTATTCCAAGCTATATTACACCCCAACCTACAGTCTATGTATAACTTTTCATACCCACGGTTGTCTGGAAGAAATTAGAAACTCTTAATGATAAGACTGCCAATTATAACGCTCTTGTTATGTTTATTGTTTGTTAATGTTTTGTAATTATGTATTTGGTGTTATAATTAAGTGTTAATCTAGCTATCTTGCTCCCAGGGCTTGCTTATATTTTATGACAGTTTTCGATATAACATTTACTGATGAGGTGTTCTTTTAAGTTTGATATTTAAGACACAATTTGTCCCTGTAGAAATCCTGTCAATTTCCATTTTAATGAATATTGTGATTATATGAGATATGAAAGGCAACCGTTACCGACAGGTCTATCAATGCACAGCTCAAATTACTGAAAAGATTGCGCTGGCACAGTAAACATATAACTATTATAATGTTCTCATACAAACATGTGCATGTGCTAAGAAAGGATTTTTCGAAACTCACCCCCACTAAAGGGGTGAAACGGTGGTTCAAAGTTTATATGGAAAGCCAATATTTCCACGCTGACGAAGTCACGGGCACCCGCTTGTATTGTAATAGTTCCATTATTATAAATATGAAAAATAAATAAAATAATGTTACAGTGAAATGACAAAAGATCCAGACGAGGCAGTGGACTACCTCCAATCATTCATTGAAAATGCTACATACATCGGTTTACCTTTTGAGAGTCACTGTGGCGCACGACCCATCGTTTTTAACAATGACAATGTTACTGAAGATTTGTCTACTGTGGCGGCCGGGGCTGCACTGTTGAGATCTGCAAATAAAAAATTTGTACCACATTTGTCTCCATATGTAAGTCGAGATTCTGTTTTAATATATTATGATAGAGGAGATGGCGGAGGTGGTAAGCGCGTTCGGCCCTTTTTTTTCTTTTTAATTTTTGGGAAATGCATTACGCATCCTTCAGCTACTGGGGGAACATGAAGAAGGTAACCGGGACTTCTCCTCGTTCATATCACCCACCTTTGAAGCTCGATGAAATGAACAGGAACCAGAGCGGTAAAAATCAGACAATACTCTTGCACCGGTCACTCGACACGCATTCTGAGGACCTCAATCATAATACATACAAGAGCAATACTCCGATTTCAAAATAGCGCCCAAATCGACGCACGCACACAGACAAACGTCATTTACACGGCCGCTAACCAATCTTGCCAAGACAAATCTACGCAGTGCCACATCGCTTGCCGCTGCGACTGGTCGTTGACCGAGTTGAGTTAGCTGCACCGCGCCGTCTGCGTCCGTTTTGATTCCGTAACGTGGCAATAATAACTATACACATACAATGAAAATCTACACAAATATGTTTTACATTTTGTAGGTACCAACCCTAGCGCTCCGTTCAGTCGTAGGTATCTATGTATTTCAAGAAAACGGCTGAGATACGCTACTGCTCTTGTATTTATTGTGGCAGTGTCCCCAATACGCGCCGAGAGAGCGGGTGATGTTGCGGCACCAGATTTCCAACTGGCCGCGCGCCCGCAGGGCGATTGTCCGTTTCCGGACTCCTTCTGATGTGCGGTGACCGGGAGTAAAAGGAGCACCGCGAGCGCATTCGGCCTGCAATCGTGGAAGTTAAGCAACTTAGGCAATGGTCGGTCAATAGATGTGTAACCAAAAACTAATTATCTCAAGCTCCTTCGTGCTTCAGAGGGCACGCTTATCTGTTGGTCCCGGCTGCATCTGCTCTTAATAAAATAAATGACCCCACAAATAACAATAAGGGATTACAAAAATCTTAGGGAATAATAATATCATGTCGGCATTCGGGGGTGCTGGGGTAGGGTAGGTTCGTAGACCCGTGTTACAGGTCACCAGGCTCCCACTGTTTACTGAAAATAATTTACCCCATCCACCCAAATTTAGATATATTTATTACGCTTAGTTAACAAGATTATCATCACTATGCCATCGCGCTTGTGCATTTTACTTTTCATTAAAGATATAAAAATAAAGCTGCAATGTAGTATGAAATGCAAGTCAACAAAATAGTGTCCGTTAGCAGACCTCGGAAACAGTAATGCGACTCCCATCTAGGGTTGTCACTCTAGGACACCAATAGAAAGGCAACCCGGCAAGTCCAAAAATATTTTACTATATCAATATTTACTTAAGATATAGCATTGAATGAAAAGAAACAATTTATTTCTTTGAATCCTTAAGGCCCACTTGCAGCAAATTTGCTAAATCTCGATTCAACAAAAAATCAATGACAATTTGCTATTATCGCTAGGACCGCATTTTTGAATGGAGAACTTGGTTATGTTCAATGCTAAGAAAACCCAGGTCTGCGTTTTCACGGCAAAAACGCCGCCATTCCTTTCATGTCCTTCTCTTCAGGGCACAACACTGGAGCTAAAGAGCAGTATCACCATGCTCGGTATGGAATTTCGCTGTGACTTAAATCCAAATAATTACTTCGACAGCGAGCGTGGTAAAAACGGCCTCATGCATATTCGGAGTCCTGAACAACGTGTGGCGTTTTTTCACGCCCGAGCAACTGTGCTTATTTTATAAGACGCAGGTGCGGTCTTGCGTGGAATATCGCACCTCTAGAATGGCTCCGCCAAGTACTTTCTCGATGCTTTGGATAGGTTACAGCGGCGCGCGATCCGCATCATAGGAATTGAGGAGAGGACTTAACACCTTGAACCTCTCAATTACGCCGTGACGTGGCGTCACTAAGCGCGTTCAAACGTCTGTAGCACGGCGAGTGCTCTGAGGAGTTATTCCCGCTTATTCCAGCTTCCCCTTTCCTTCATAGGAATCCACGCACACTGGCCTTAAGTCGTCACCGTCTAAATGTGGCGACAATTCCAACGCATACAAAGAAATTTGGTGATTGATTTCTTTGTAGCACTATTCGTAAATGGAAGGCTCTGCCCGCTCACGTGTTCCCTCCTTCTTATAACCTGGGATCTTTTAAAAGAGGCATGAAGAAGGCAACATGCAGGCCGGCAAGGTGAGGATAGCTGGTGTGGCAGGTGTACCAGCTATCTTCACGTCTGTACTTCACCGTCACTTAACATCGGGTGTGGTAGAGTCATTTGTCGGACCTATGTATAAAAATGTATCGTTGGTCTAAAAGTCATGATTACGGAATACATTAGCATCCCAACCGAGCCGTCTTTTACAACTTAATACAATACATAACTCCTTAAGATGAAATTCGTGGATCTTGAAAAGGTCCTAAAAAGTTGAGAAGACTGTGGCCTTGCTAAATACGGTATTGGAATTTTCATTGTCTATTAAAGACGCCTTAACAAAGTAAAGCTGCAGAATGGAAGAAGGACGTAGTTAACAAATATTGATATAGGATAAGGGCAAAGTGCCTTTTTTCGTATACCATTTGGCAACCTTACCCGAAGCAAGCAGCAAGTACCTCTCTATACTATTTTAGTTTAGACAAGTCGAGAGCTCTTCAACAGGCATTTTCGTGGAAGATTAAACGGACCGTTACGACTCTGATGGACAGACACGGGTCATAAAGCAGTAATACCATATAAAATTATATCAAAGTGAAGTTAGAGCTAAAATTTTCAAGCCTTTTTTGAGTAACTTTACGTAATTTCAGGAAGCCGAGTTATTTTTTTTTTTATTAAAACAACATTCAAGACAATTGTGTCTCAAAAAAAAGACTGCAAAATACTTACTACGAAAAAAAGATATGAATTTTTGAAACCTCGCTGGCAAAAATCATTAAAAATACACAAAAAAAATATAACTCGAAAACTAAGAAAAATCGCGGAACATACATGGGGTATTTTCGGATACCCCCAGGTGCGAGAATTCTATAAAAAAATTGTTGACGTCACTAATTGGACCACCCTGTATAAAAAAAAAATGCTTTATTGGCTGGCATAGTAGAATAATGAATGAAGTTATATTATAATGGGATAAAAAGAATTATTTCTGCCACTATGATGATGTTGCATTAATAAATTATAAGCTGTATTGTTAAAAAGAAAATAAAAACAATAATAATAGTAAATTATAAGATCGTTTCTGCCTTTCAGTCTACTATTTCTATTAGTTATGAGAAGCGTAATCATCAAAAAGGCAGAAAAAAACAATATGTACTGTCTTTTCGAAAGCAGTAGTACCTATTTTACTACCTGAGGACAGCTGCAAGGGAGTACAAATGATATAGTTTTTTTTTAATCATTATTTTTATAAAATCTCTCACCATCCTGACTTCTGCCAGCTTCACTATCTATAAAATGTATTTAATAGATATGGTAATTGATGACAGAAACGATAATATAATTTTTGACATTATTTTTTCTTTGCAATTTCGAATTAATTTAGAAAAAATCAGAGCTACCCAAGCTCGCCCATATTTTTTTTAGTTAACATAGGTGCAGACTACATAACGTCTTGGTATCAACAACATTGAATTCATACCTATAATAGATTGCCACCAGCTTCCTTGCTTTAATTAGCTTGACATACATTTCAGATTCGCTACTTAGAGATCGACACCAATGGCACAGGTGAAGATGCGAATGAGGAAGTCAAATCATACGATTGCTCAAATATTGTCTGCGAGTTTGAAGAGTTTTTACTGCGATGGAACTCCACGCATGTGTATACAGGTTCCGTAAATTCCATCGACGAGTCCATACTTTTCCCGGACTACGGAATAGTGAATGAAGATTTCATTGCGAAATTGTGGGCTTTTAATGTTAACACAGAAGTTGATGGCATGGTGTTGATAAATAATTGGCCTTTAGAGGAATCTGTGAAGGCTAAAGAGGAAATGTATATGCGATTGCCATATTTCAATGAGGTGAGTTTTCTTTAACTAAAACTGCCAAATGCAAAATCAACAATTTCTTTAAGACAAGATTTCTCTTACTCTTGATTACAAGCCTCATGGAGCACGGTTACTCAGAAGAAAAAGTTAGGAAACAGTTTATATAAAAAAAATCAATCCCTTCTTGCCTTGGGCTATGTAATTTTTATAAGCAATATAGTAAATACCTATCCAAAATCTTTATTTGAATAGCTTTATATCAATACATAAGTTCAACATAGTGTTGAACTTTATTGACTTTGATTGAAAATTATTGACACAAAATTTCTGATTGAATAAATCAGTTACTTGAAATTATTTATTCAAAGTTATTGAAGCTTTATTAAAACATAGCTCACGATTTTCAAATTGAACTCTGGCAAACTCTACAATAAACAATACCCAATTATTCATGTGTTAAAGATATCCCAATTTATAAAAAAATAACATACAATATTTTACTTTGTTTTTAAACCTGATTTGCCTAATAAGATACAACTACTAAATTCTTCTTATTATTTCAGTACTTCGAAGTTGCATTCAATGCTACACCTCAGTGGGACATCATCAGACCAGGACCCGATGTTCAGCCTTACTTCAAAGAGCACAATAAATACGGCAGTTACTTTGCAGCAGCTATGGAGAAGATAAACAATTCCACACCAACCTGGTCCAACACCCAATGGATGAATGGGGATGTGATTATCAACAGACAAAACGTTCGGACATCTTGGACGAATTTCCACAACGAACTCATAGCAACAGCGTTAGGTGGTGTATCAGGCAACTGGCTTTGGTCCTCACCCATATGTGGCGATGAAGAAAACTTTGACATCGACAACCACGCTAACCTTTGCGTCAAATGGTACATGGCTTCTACCTACCTTCCTATCATTAAGATCCACTCGAAATTGAAGGCGAGAGATCCTTCAGCTTTCGGAGGTACACACAGGGCGTTGACGATAAAAGCTCTGGAAAATAGATTGTCTCTGTTACCTTACTTCTATACAGTGCTGCAAGAAGGCCCGTTACTCAGACCTATGTTCTACCAGTTTCCTTTGAATGAGGAGTTAAGGGAATCGCGCAGTCAATTCAGCGTTGGGGATAGCCTTCTAATAGCTCCCAATCTTGAGCCTAGACAGAGTAACGTCCATGTGAGGGTTCCTCCGGGAACTTGGTACGAGTTCTGGAGTGGGTTGAAGGTCCAAGCGGAAGAAGGGGAAATGGTCACGATGACCACTACTGAAGCTGACTTCTTGACCTTCATTCGCGGCGGAGATATTGTTGTTACGCAAATGGTAATTATTGTTGTTTTCTTTTGTTTTCGATCAGCTATGTAACTTAAAAGCTCTAGGTACTGCAACTTCATTAACCGTAACACAACAAGAACTCGAATCAGAACAAAATAGAACGCGCGATACGAATACGTATGCACCGTAATATTTATTTAACGTTCAATTAAAACCAGGTTCCAATCTTAAAAACAAAAAACCTCATTTACGTAAAGCACTTATATGATTTACACCGACGTAAACTTCAATTAAACCAAGAATTTACAAAAACTGATATAATTTTTTATTTGTATTAACTAAAGATTTAGAACATACGTATTAGGATATATAAACCTGCCAGCTATAGGACTACTATGACAATAAGTTTAAAATTAAAGAAGAAAATAATTTCTAGGTACGTATTTATTCAACCAAATAATAAGTAAGAAGTCAAAGTAATTAATTAGCTACAAATAGAAATTTGCTAGAATTGTACAATAAAGGTAATGTAAACTGTTTTGAAAAAATCCAATAAATCAATATTACCTATCAGATCAGAGTTTATTAACACATTTCCGTATTGTCTAAATCTAGTTAAATTAGTGTAACAGTAAAGCTTGAATTTCCTCTATATAAATCGTAAGCATAATTGTAAATACTAAGGTAGGTACTCGTAACTCGTAATTGAGAACAGTTGCCCTTAGCACGAACCAATATCGAATTCGAATAGTTTGGGAATGCGAAAAGTTCACTGTCAAATGTGTACTGACTTTTAGTTCTCATTAGGTACTTTATGGCGCTGCTGTTCAAGTTTCCATACAAAATTTGACATTGACTTTTCGCACTCGCAAACTATTCCAATTCGATAAAGGTTTATGCTAGGGGTACAGAACACTTGTCTTTGAAAAAAAATATAGGTATAAATATCATCATCATCAGCCTATTAATGTCCTCACTGCTGGGGCACAGGCCTTCCCTATGGAGGGAATAGGGAATTTGGGCCATGACCCACCATGCAGGTCCGGTGCGGATTTGTGGGTGCTGACGACTGCAGATGCAGCCGGGACCAACGCCTTAACGTCTTTTGGGAACGGAGATCAATACTTATTTACAGAAATTGCAAACCCCATTTGAAGTCATTAGAATTGAATTAAAAAAACACCTTTGTTTTCCGAGCGAAACCAAATATTATGAGCAGTTTCTTGAAATGTTAAATATTCTTTAAAGGAGATGGTTCCAATATGTATGGAGGGTGGTCCAACACACGAGGGTGAAAACTTAATTGTAAATCTTTTGCCAAAAACTAGAATTTATTTATTCCTTCTTTTAAAAATTATTATTATTATTATATAAAAAAAATATGATCGGCAAGTGGAAAGTTTTTATATCTATTTTTTGATGCCAAAGCAATAAATATATTCTATTCACTTAGTAACTAAAGCAGTGATAATGATTGTGTTCATCTTTAATTACGTTATTAGGGATTTTATGGTATTTTATTTCAAGAAGAATCAATATAAATTGGTGTAATAACTTCACCAAGATTTCACGATCATTTATGACTGGACTGATTGACATTTGCCATAGTGATTAAGTTGACGTAATAAGCTGCCACAAACTTAAAATATGACGTTACTTATGACAGGGTAGCCAGCATCCTTACAAAATTGTTCAATTTTTAAACATGATTAACAATTAATCGAAGATAAATGAAACAAGACAAGTATCTGTTAATTTTTTAATATAAAACAATATTTCGTCGCTGCCGAAGAAAGGCTACCACTGATGAACCCTCTCCTTTAAAATTTTTGAACTACCTGCTGCTGTTATTAAACAGTTATAGTAAAACAAAGCATTTGTTTTTGACACTCTATGGAATGAGACCTTTTTTTCAGAATGTAAGCACAACAGCTGAAAGTACGCGTAGAAACTCCCCTTTCACCCTCGTTATCGCCACTAAAACTGTCAACGTCACTGCACAAGAAACAAACGAAGTTCGCTCGGCTGAAGGCAAGTTGTACATGACACCGAACATGACAATCCACTTCAGCGTTAACAACACCAATCTTACTATCACTACGTACGACGATGACTTCTCAGCTTTATGTGGAGACGACGCTGTATGGGCCAAGGTTGTGAACGAGCTCAAAATATATGGACTGGACGAAGCAGATAATAATTACGATCATCATAAACAATTGAAGACTGCAATAGACTTGTGTGACCTGGCGAACGGTGACATAGTTTTATCCATTTGATACAGAGTTGTGTTAATAACAATTAAATATTTTGAGAATCATTCAATTTTAAAAACCGCCTTTTTAAATAGAAAGCTGTTGTAAAATAAAAATACATATCACTCAACTGGTGGATAACACAAAGAATTTTTTTTTTTCAATATTGAGTTATTGATGCCATAATAGACCTAAAGCATGCCTGGAGAAAAAACCTCATAATTATATTACCCATAGTTTGCGCTAGATCGCAAAAGTGTTGTTGTTCGTTTAACACAAAATTGACCCCTTGTTGGAGCTACATCAACATAAAGATAATTGTGATGAACTAAAGGCATTAAACTATTCTAAAAAAATATATATTATTTAATTTTTTTTTAAAGGTGTTAAAAGTATGAGATTAAAACCATACAATATTTTAATATAGAGAAATAGTTTCAAAAACTTTAAAGGGCTCTCCTGTAATCCTGTAATTGCTAAATTATGTTATTTTGTCGGATGACCGATATATGTATTATATTTAGATAATTCAATCACTAAACGCCTAATTATGCTCCCTCTGTTTGAGCAATTATCTGCTAAAGTATTCAAACCGAACAATAAATATGAAGTACCTTTGAAGATGTTGTACCTATGCTCCACAATAAATGATTTATTATTATTATTATCAACGTAATTTATTATTCAATATGATGAACCTACCTTTATTTTATAAAATAAGCTACTATTGATAATACATATAAAGATGTGTATTATAGCACCCATTTAATAAAATTGATTTACTATTGTGTTTTTAATTATGTAAATACCTAATAAATGTTCTATAAATAACATAAGGAATAAATCTTTTAGACTGGATACTATAATATTAATAATATATGTATATAGTCTGCTATCTTATCATACTAATAAAAATTGTTGACGCTAAAAAAGATGCAAATTATGATGTAAATAAAATCATCAACACAAACTGTTTGTATATAAATGTAACTGATAACCATCGTGTCCATTGCTATTACGAGGACAGCGAAATCGACCCCAACTTGAACTCAGATAAATCTGTTTTCGATGAAATAAACTCATTACGTTTACGGCATCTGTACAGTGAAACAACTGTAGCATCACAAAAATTGCCAAGAAAATAATCTAATGAAAAACGAAAACAACCAAGAAGATCCACAGAAGAAAAATTTCACCAACCCAAGTGCAAGAATGCCCAACATCAAAGTGTTCACTGGGAGCTCTCACCCTGATGTCGCAAAAAAAATTGTTGCAAGACTGGGAATCGATCTAGGGAGGGCTACAACTAAGACTTTTAGCAATAAAGAAACTAACGTGGTAATTGGTGAGTCTGTTCGAGGTGAAGATGTTTACATCGTCCAAAGCGGATGCGGAGACATCAACGACAACTTAATGGAATTGTTTATTATGATTAACGCTTGTAAGATTGCCTCGGCATCTCGAGTTACTGCTGTTATACCCTGCTTCCCTTACTCCAGGCAAGATAAGAAAGAGAAAAGCCGAGCGCCTATCACAGCAAAATTACTAGCTAATCTCATATCAGTGGCTGGTGCCGACCATGTCATAACGATAGACCTGCACGCGTCCCAAATTCAAGGATTCTTCAATATACCCGTAGACAACCTCTACGCCGAACCAGCTATCACGAAGTGGATTAAAGAGAATATTCCTGAATGGAAGAGCGGTGTTATGGTATCACCTGATGCAGGGGGCGCTAAAAGAATGACTGCGATTGCTGATCGGCTTGATATTGATTTTGCCATCATCCACAAGGAAAGACAAAGAGCTAACCAAGGTGACTCAACTGTACTCGTCGGTGATGTGAAAAATAGAATAGCTATAATGGTTGACGATCTGGCTGACACTTGTGACACTATAGTCAAAGGTGCAGAGAAATTACACGAATCCGGTGCTAGTAAAGTATACGCGATCCTCACACATGGAGTTTTTGCTGGTAATGCTATTGATAAGATTAATAACTCATGTCTGGAAGCTATAGTGGTTACAAATACGATACCCCAGGAGAAGCACGTGAAAATGTGTCCGAAGTTACAGACTATTGATATTTCCGTAATGCTGGCAGAAGCTATAAGGCGTACACATTACGCTGAATCAGTATCATATTTATTTACTAATGTGCCTTACTAAAAACCTAATCGCATTCACTTTGAAATCTGGCAGTTATAACATGAACCCTTGAATTATATACATGCTACTTAGTTTTATTCCTTAATCAATAAATATAGTAATCTTATCGGGAAAAATAATCTGCAGTTTTATTACAAAATAAGAATTAATTTTATAGAATCGCACGACAACCTAACATTTTACCGGGTTAAAAAGTATCTCATGTCTCAATCCAGGTCATATACAATATGCCTGCCTACCAAATTTCATCCAAATCCGTTAAGTAGTATTTGTTATGGTAGCCATACACACTACGAGAAATCGTTACGATCAGACTGTACAGTTCGAACGGAACAGTTTATCGTACGTGGCGTACGTATAGGAAACTGTGCAGTTTTATAACATACACGCTACGATTTATCGGTACCGTTCGGACGGTACAGTCTAATCGTAACGATTTCTCGTAGTGTGTATGGCTACCATTACACAAAGAAACACAAACTTTCACATTCGTAATATTAGTAGGATAGAGTACAGTACTTTCTTGAAATCATGGATTAGCGAATTTTGGATTTTCAATATTTATGGCGGTGTATTGGTACCTTAATTAGTACTCATGTCCTTCACCTAAGATAAGAAAGTCGGGTATTTTGACAGCATTTTTCCATTGACATGTTTTGGCCCATCTTTGATTTCTTCCTATTCTTAAAAATGAGATTGCCGTTTCTGTTAATTTTTTTGTTAAAAATCAAAACTGAGATCTCGGACTCGTTCCTCGATAATTGTGGTATGTATAGTGAAGCTAACTTGGCCCTAATCAACATATATCAGTCGTAGACAAAGAGCGTATGGAATGCCAGCAACAAACGAAAATATTGATAAAAAAGTAGTATTGACCAATCGTCGAATCACCATTAGACAAGTTTCTGAGGTCTTAAATAAGGAACATATCGATTAGCTCATTGGCTGATTGTGCCATCCTATTGTTATTAATGATTTGGCCATAAGACGAGTCACCACGAAATTCGTATCAAAATGGCTCTATTTTCAATTATTTGTACGCTAGATCTGGCCAAAACCAACTCGCTAATGATGCCGCAGAGACACGTGTTCCCCAGATCTGACTCCGCCCCTGCCTTTTTTAGTTCCCGAACTTGGAAAAAATCCATTAAAATACGACGCTACACCCACGACGAAGGCGATAAAGACGGCATCGAAGGAGAAGCTGAACAACATTACAAAGAAAATTTTTTTTAATGATTAGAGGATTGGAAAAACTTTGGTACTTATAGGTACTTATTAAATCCGAGGGGAATCCCTTTGACGGAAACAAAAATAAATATTCGTGAATAAATTAAAACTATTGAAAAAACACAAAATTCGCGATACTTCTTGAACAGCTATATTATTAAAATCTAAATGATGTTTTTTATTTATCAACGAAAAACAAAGCTCATCTGGCTGAATAAAAAATCTACGGACCATTGTACGGACTTGATAAAAAGACATTTATGAGAGAGATATACTTAAGTTCTTACGAAGTTTGATCTCAAAAACATTTTAATTTAGCTCATTCCTAATTTTTCTAAGAGATAATTTCATTTCGCTTTTGTTTTTCAGTTTATTTTTATATCAGAAAAAAAATTATATTTCAGCAATATTTGAACCAGTAAAATAATGCAATTTGTACATCGTTTCAAGGTCTTTTGATTAAATCTCAGTCCTCTTCGTTTTTTTGTCGATTTATTAGTTATTGAATTATAAATAGCCTTTGAAATCTAAACATAAAACCACAGGCTCACTAAGAAAACATTAAACGTTTCCTATTTCCATGGAGCAGTAGGTACCTATAGAATACAGAAAACGCTTAATGACGCCACATCAGCACGTAAATATAGATGCTCAAGATTTACAGTTATCTTCACATCGCCAATGACGAAGGGAGTCCATCCAGAATATCGAGTAGGTAATTAGGTACCTATTTATTGAAGCCATCCCAGAAGTGCGATTAATATTCAACGCAGGACCGTACTTACTTGCGTATTGTACAACAATCACAGTTCAGGCATAAAAAGACGACCAAGTTCTCTATAGTCTTTTCCAAGTAGATATGAAATAAAAAGAATAGCGGAAGTAGGTAAAAGGTCAAAAAAGAAAAACGTAAGAGGAAGTTTTTAGGGTTTCGTACTAAAAGGGTGAAACATAATCGGATTAACGGGCCGTAGTCCCACCGGTTTGTCCTACTAGTGGTACCACGATGTCCCACTATATATATACCTACCTGTGGTCCTACCGCACTAGGGTGGTTAATATGGTATCGATTAAAAATAATAAACACCGACAACTTACTTTTGAACTCCAGAATTCTCATCAGTGAATTGTTATTTGTTCTGTACAAGGAGTAATTAATTTATTTTATTTATTATGTTTATTTCTAATATGTCTGCATTGTCTGCCTGTGTTATCCGTCTGCCTGTCACAGAAGGCTCTATCTCTTGAATATAAATATAAAAACCTAAAGGGATCCATTCTTTCCTTAATACAACTGTGCCCAATTATGTACCTCAAGTATTATGATGCATTAATGAAAATGAAAATACGGAATTTATCAAAAATATAATGGAGTTTATTATCCACTTCTACCACATTACCATGTCGTTCTAACATTTAAATTTATGGCAACACAGATAATTTATTATGGATATTAAGCATCCTTAAGTACTTGCATATGGTAAATGGCAACATTAGCCGTCATGCCATAATAAAAAAAGAAAAAGAACAACAATTAGCTACGGAAATCACGTGCTTTCTTTATACAACCAATCATAATCAAGGAAATAAATTTAAACCAATAGTAATAGCTGTCATCTGTCAGTCAATGACATATTGCGTCTAAATAAGAACGTTTCTTTATACCCAGATGTTATTTATATTAAATTTTAATTCAGATTTTCAGTAATTACGTATAATTTTAGATGTTTTTAAGATAATTTGAAACAAGTTGGGCAAAATCGAAGGTCTACTTTTACAGAATGCATGTCACAGTGGCGGCTTTCACAAAATAAATTAAAATTAACTAAAATAATAATGGGCCATAAACGTAACCTAGAATTTCTACCAGCTCTCTAGGAACCGTTACAGATCAACACTTGAAAGTTTAATGAAGTACAAGTTATTAAAGCCTCTGATTCAGAGAGGGCTCCACCGGTTTTTTTTCAAATCCCGTTGACTATATTATTTTATATTGCAATTACTTGTTATTAACCTTGTCAAACGACATGAAACCAATATTGTGCAAATCCGACTCGCACTTGTTTTCCTTATATTGCGGCATTATTCCTAAATAGTTTTTGAAGACAAAGCAAACTATACTATACATACTAGGTACACTACACATCTATCAGCCCACTTAGTATTATAAGTTTCAACGGTCTGTACCAAAAATATAATTATGATTAAAAGAAACACGCGAAAAGTAGGATAAAACAGCTTCAAAACTCTTTGCTCAATGTGACATTATTTTTAGTTAGGGACCGCCAAAACTTAAAAAGCTAGGTGGGCCGATAGATTTGTCCGGTAGTATAAATTATAATTTAACTACTTCAATCAAAAGTCGTCGGTGCCAAGTGCACTGACACATGATATTATGTCAGATAAGGTTTATCAACAGAGTCGTTTCACGGAGAAACTGTGAAATCAGAATAAGCAAACAACTGGTGTAATAAACAATCGTGTTGGCTTATCTTAACGATTCGATACACTATAGGTGGATGTAAAATATATAAAACCTAATTAAGTACATTGTAATCAGATAAATTGAGGGAGAACAGGGCATAACTAGAGATTTAAATTGACCATCTCTCTATGTGGTTTCAGGACAGCAGAACTTTAGGCAGTGCACGCTGTAACCCCAGGTTTACACCAAGAAATAAGTCATAATATAGTAGTTATATACATAACCTGTAAAATTCTTGTTTTGACTGTTTAAAACACTATTTTATTTATAAGGTTGATGCTAGTATTGTTACATGTTTTATACTAGCTGACCCAGCGAACTTCGTTCCGCCATAAAAATAAGGGTTCGTGAAAGAGAGGTGAAAGTTTAGTGTTGTAGGTATGTATTTTTGTATGATGTATCATAAAAAAATAAAAACAAAAAGGTTTTCTAAAAAAAAATTAAGAGTGGACCACCCCTTACATTTAGGGAGATGAAAAATACATGTTGTCCGATTCTCAGACCTACTTAATATGCATATAAAATTTCACGAAAATCGGTCGAGCCGTTTCAGAGTAGTTCTATTACGCACACCGTGACACGAGAATTTTATATATTTGTTAAGTGTGAACAAAAAATCACGACATTCTATACAATTTGATTAAAACTTGAAGTAAACAATGAAATATTTTTAGCCTACCAATTAATATTTCATAATGGTTTTAAAAATAGAAGTATGCTATTTTAGTTTCGATGATCCTGCCATACTGCCACCTACCGTAATATGTCAAAACTAATTTGTAGTAAAGTGCTTTATGTTGACTGAGTGGTCCTATGAAATCACCAAGCTACGAAAATAGTACTAACAACTTAACTAAGATGTCGTCACTCTTTTTAACCAAATACGACATAGGTGGTTTATCAATCAATCGCAGCGAAGTTTAATGTTAGTTTACTAACTTTCTTTATGTGAAAAACCTCAATACTTCGCAGGTGTGCTTGTTTTCGTCGTTGTTTCAATAATAATCTCTCAATTAATACTTAGTACAAATGTGAATATTTTCTGTAAGTTATTAAAATATAGGTTAACTTAGTAACAAAGTTGTTTACGCTCAGTTTGATTTACAAAAACACTTCCATGTAGCTCCTTACCTACTTCAGAGATCAAAGTTCGAAGTAGGCCTCTACTATTAATTACCAGAAATATATAACTAAGTACTTTTGTTGGTGAAAGCTGAATATTTGCGAAATATATTTTTTTTATCATGAGAACGATCGTATATCAAACGGACTCTAGTCCACCGGCCAGGGCAGTCAAAATGATTCTCTATATCCTGGGATTAGAGTTTGAAATTCGAGAAATGAATCCGTTGTTGAGGGAGCAAGACGCACCGGAAATGAGAAAGGTAAGCTATTTATTTAATTGAATATTTTATTTTGTACCCCGTCAAGAGTACTTACGTGGGAAATAAATGTCTCTGTCTTTTGACTGAACAAATTTTTATTAATGACAAACAGTAAAACAATCAATTCATTTTCTTTTTCTTATGCAGCCAAGTTTCTAAATACGTGGTAATGAAAAATTATAGACCTAGAAATGGCGCAGTTTAACAACTTTGGCAATAGCCGGTCATTAAATGGGTGACCAAAAAATTTATTTAGTAGTTCATCGTAGAATAAATCTTTATATACGTTATAAGGTAGGCAGTAACGATCTCCACACTTTCGTTACCCCATGGCCCCTACATCTCTAAATCCGGCCCTGCCCTGGGTATAGCTATAGCAGTGGGAATGTAAATTCGTTGTTCAAAGAGCAAGTGATACCCTTTCTTCTGCGAGTGCGTTAATTATGGAGTTTAAATTTCTTGAAATTTTATATAAATTACCTACCTACTCATTTTTTTTACCTTCCAGAAAAATCCTATGCGTACTTCATAGAGGAAGGCGATTTTTGTTTGAGTGACAGGTAAGCATTATTATGCGCACAACAATTCTGCTGTATTAAGGTATACATTGGTGTCAATTCTAGCATGATTCTCTAAACCTAAACTTAAATTTGACAGCAGTATATCCTTGTCATTCTCTATACAGAATGAAAAGGAGAGACTGATGTTAAATTTAGTTTTAAGTTTAGAGAATCACGCTAGAATCGGCACTATTGTTATTCATTGTTCTAAACTTATTTTATATAGGTACCTATCAATTCAGGGCCGGATTTATGGTAGACAGGCGGGGCTGTGGCCCATGGGCCCATCACAATATACTTGAAAAAAAAAATAGGGTATTTGACAAATTTTAGAAAACGATCTTACGTTGTTTACTAATGTTTAGGAAGTCCATAAACATTGAATAGGTATTTTTGATTCTTACGACTGTCATTAAAACGTCAAACAATAAAATGTCATGTCACTTTGGCTGTCATTTTAGTCTTGGCCAATCCGAGGCGTTTTCGGGTACCTGACCATGGAGCAAAGAAATATTTCGTATTCAATGATTTTATAGAAAACTAGTTGACCCAGCGAACTTCGTACCGCCCTAAAAAAATAGGGGTTGTCCAGCGGACAAAATTGTGAATCTAAACCATTCTCAGATCCCCTTGAACACACACAAAAAATTTCATCAAAATCGGTCCAGTCGTTTAAGAGAACTTCTGTGAGTGTGACATACACACTCACAGAAGAATTATATATATAAAGATTTATTAACTATTTGTTCTTTCAGAATAGTAAAATCGCTGCTAATATTATCAAACACAGATGTCAACAATTGGTACATTATTTTGCATATTGTCAAATAAGCTATTCTTAAATTGGCCTGCGCGACAGATTTCAAAATTCGCCCCTGATACCTACTTTCATCTGCCTCTCTTCTCGCCGGTCCTAGTAGAATCTTTTCTTCTCCACCTATTAATATTCCAAGTTTAACTTTCAGTCATGCAATAGCAATTTATTTATTCGAAAAGTACGGCAATCCAGAACATGAATACCTTTACCCTAAAGACATGCGAAAAAGGGCAACTGTCAACCAAAGGCTGTTCTTCGATTGTGGAATACTCTTCCAAAGACTTAGATCAATAATGGTGAGTGATAAAGTAATGTAAACACAGCTCAGGAGATCTTATAGTCATCCAAATAATTGAGCTTCCATTATTTGAAAAACACATGAAAAGGAAACAACTTATTAAACTATATAACGTATATCTATCATACTACCGTTCCAACCCCGGTCTGGTGGTGATAGGATTCTATACTATGTTCCTATCTGCCCCCTACCACGTAACATATACATATAACACCCCCCAACGAATACCAACATTTAAATAATTATTAACAATTGAATTCTGCATTGCTTGCGTCACAGAACACCTCTTTCTGTGGCTTGCGCAGGCGGTACTTGAAATTAAAATAAAATCATAAAAAAACATTTTGTTGAAATTTTATTAAAAGTGTATTTTTTACGTAAGTACGTTAGCTTTATTGCAGTTTTATTTACTTCTAGGCACCTACGTACATGGGCATAATGACAGAAATGCCTAAAGAAGTGATATTGGGAATAAAGAACGCTTACCGCATGCTAGAGGAATACCTTTCGCAATCCACATACTTGGCTGATGAGAACATGACTATCGCCGACGTTTGTGCTGTGGCCACCGTCTCTTCGCTCGATGGGATGTATCCAGTGGAAGAGAAAAGGTCAAAAGAGTACTACGCTACTTTTTCTATTACCTCAGCGTAAAATTTACAACTTTCTTAAAAGAATCGTTGTAGTTTACAAATATGCAAATACGAATAGCCAAGTGGGTGCCGGCATGGCTCACAGTCCCTATGGCTATTGGGTATTACATTATCCTATGGACATAATTATAAAACGGACCTTAACTAACCACCATACAAGCGCAGTAGATTGCTCACGATTGCAGGTGCTACCGTGACCAACGAATAAACGAACTTCCTTACTTTACTACGAAACTACACTCCTCCTCAATATCTATACATATAATAAAATGGTAGGAAAGTAACTGTACCTACATTGAATATTTTTGGGCTCTACAATCGATACCGACACCAAAAATAATTTTTAGAATTTTTGTGTTTGTCTGTATGTATGTCCGGGATAAACTCAAAAATACTGCATGGATTTACTTCAAATTTGGCACGAATATTATTAATAAAAGTCGGGTCAACATATTATCACGCTATCACCTACGGGGAATGAGCAGTGAACCTCTATGTCTTACTCCACGCGTACAAGGTCGCGGGCGGCCGCTTGTTTTTTATAAATAGTTTAATCTCGACAACATCAAAAACTTGTTACAAGACTAAGTAATAAATAAGTAGGTATACAAATCCATGATTTTTCTATCAAATAACTCAAATCTCTTTAACATGAAATACTAAATTGTACAACTCACAGGGATTGCCTGAAACACAGGAATTATCCTAAGTTCATACTACTTACTTAAGTTTTCTTGTTTTATAACCGATGATCGATACTCTTCGATATATATTATTACCAAACACTTTCTTTAATAAATTAACTATCCTTATTCAGATACCCGAAAACGAGAAGATGGCTGGACACCATGTACAATAAGGATTTCTGCAGAATCGCCAACCAACCCGGCTGCGAGCTGCACGTTGCTCATCTTAAATTCGCTATGGAGAATAATAAACTCAACAGGAAAGCTAAACTGTGATTCCGTCGAAAAATATATAGATCTACAATAGTTTTCAGTTCACAAGCGTTTGTGCTTTCGTGCTTACCATACAAATAAATATTCGACCGGATTACTTTCTGTGTGCTCGACCTTTTGTAGTACAATAAGTTTACTGCAGGCCGTTTAGACACTAAGAACTAACACATAGTATATTACTTAATTTTATATTACTACTAGCTGTCCCAGAGAAATTCGTACCGCCATAAAAAAATAGGGATTCCTGGTAGAAAGGTGAAAATTGAGGGTTGTATGTATTTTTGTATGATGTATCATAAAAAAATAAAAAATTTGAATAAAAAATAGGGTTAAATAAATTAAGACCACCCTTAACATTTAGGGAGTTTTGTATGAAAGATTTATAATTTCATTACATCCGTCGTGGCGCTTTTGAAATTTCCAGACAGAAATGCTTGACATTTGACGCATATCGAAATAGAATTCAACTATTCGTATTCGATATTACAAAGGTACTGAAATTAGCAGATTCATCGCACAGAGTACAGTAAAAAATTATGTAATACATTACGTATGAGTTAATGAAGTGTCTAAACGGCTAAACGGTTTTAATGACTCCTAAACAAACTTTCTAGTCTAACGCCACTAGTTTGCAGCAATGGCAACATTAAAAAAAAAAGATATTTAAATAAAACCATAAAATCAGTTTAATTTTCGCTGTTTATTTACATTTTTCCAATTTTACGCCCCCGGTTTCTTTTGATAAAGAATACGCCTAAGACAAGTATTCAGTCTTACTTATCAACAAATACCTATAGCTTCGTATTATAGAGGTTACAATTTCTGAGGATCAATTTAATCAGTGCAGATGGAAAACATTTTTACTAATAAAAACACATCATTCCCACATATTTATACTCGCCACGTATGCTTACGTGCCGGCAAAAAATAAAAACAATCACAAATAGGGTACATTGAAAGACATTTAAAATAAGAATCACAGGTTTTTCTTTTATTTCCATAACTAAAGAGAAATGCAAAGAACTTTTCCAACTTCACACTCCAGTAACGTCTAAGGCGGCTACCATGTGGATAACTTTGTTTTTTTTTAAATGAGAAATTAATGATTACAAAAAACGTTACACATTTAAACATTTCCTATAAGTCTTATAAAGTCTCTCGTGAACGCCCGCACTTATCAAAAACATTCAATAGCACTTAACAATTAAAGTTACATACAATACTTGAGATATAAACATAAAACTGTTTCGCGTTACGAACTGTGTGGAATATTTTATTTAAGACCAGGCAAACTGTTAAAGCCACTTGTCTGATTGAGTGTGATCCGTTCGGGCGTCGACTGTCAACTGTTGCACGTTAGTCTTAAATGTTAGAGCAGTGCGGCCTGCATTAGCCATCCTCTTTCGGAGGTGTGAACCAACCTGGAAACAAAGAGACTAATATTATCACATTGAAAACACAAGCAATTAACTCACTTAATAAGAAATCATCATCACCAGCCTATTAATGTCCCCACTGACGGGGCACAGGCCTTCCATATGGATGGAATAGGGAGACTGGGCCGTGAATCACGCGCGGGCCCAGTGCGGATTGATACAGCCGGGAGCAACGGTTTAACGTGCCTTCCAAAGCACGGAGGAGCTCCAGATAGTAAAATTTTGGTCACCCTTCCAAAGACCAAACACTGCGAAAGTCGTTTAAATTCAACAATCGCAGCAAAACGCGCTTACCACTTGCGCCATCGAGGTCCTCCCGTGAAGCTACTTTATTTACTACATGGTCCTTCGAGCTAGTTCAATGTTTTCAACATTATATTGCCCTGCAAAGTATTCTAATTTAATAATAAAAAAAAAGGTGTCGACATTTTACAAGTATTGCGAAATGCGAACTAATAAGAAATAGTCCTTACTGCTAGGAAACCAAGACTTTCCCATAGAAATAAAAGGCAGAATGAGCAATAACACATCACGCAGGACCAATGCGTATGGGTAAGTACTGACGACTGCAGTGCAGACAACCAGTCGTCGCGCCGTCAAACTCGTCGAAAAAACGATTTCTTTCAGTAACGTAAATTTCTAGCGGCCATCCGCGACTTCGTACGCGTGGAGTTAGTTAGAAATAAAGGTTCACTGCTCCTTCCCCGTAGGTGATAGCACGATAGTATGTAGCCTATATGTTGATCCGACTTCTTGATAGTATTCGTGCCAAAGGAGATTGCTCAAATTGGCCCAAATGCACAAATAATATTGACATATACGGTAATTCTTGGCGTAATTTATACTTAATTTTACAGGCATTAGATTTTAACAGACACCTTTGTATAATATATTCATTTTAAAAGGGACTTTTTAATTTTACCGGTTTGGTTTACATACGAATATTTTTAATGGCTATGGATGTAGTAACATTCAGCCAAAGTCTGATCGAAGTTGTTTATATAACATAAAATCAAATCTATTTTGTAAAGGTCGATAAAATAAATCATTTTTTTTTATTACATTGTGGTATTAATATCCATAAATTATCATTTTCACTACATGCAAATGTGCTAAGACAATTATTATAGATGATAAGCGACATCATAAAGTCTATTGCCATACATTTTTCGCCAAACGCCTCCATAAAAGTGTGATACACTAAAAATCTAAAATATGGTTATAATGTAAACATAACAAAAATAATGAAGCTATTGAAGATCTTAGCTTTCTTTGGTTAACAAGAGTTTAAAAATTCTCTCTAATCTGTGGCTCATTCACAATCATCACACAGTTTCTTTCATAGAGTACCTTCCTTATTATACCGGAAATGCAAGGATAATACCTGATTTTAAAAGTTACTCTTGTGCATTAACTTTAAAAACTATCTGTTAATCTACATGCTCTATATACCTGAATCTAATTTATAATTTCGGTACTTGGCTTGATTTCCCTAGTTTATTATATAACTTATTTGTTTTTTATTATATACCTATGCCTATTTGCAAACATAACCTCAAAATCGTTCAGTGTATATGGTTTATAGAAGTTCTCAGGGGTGTCCGTCAATAATAGTCTTTTCTACAGTAATTTATATATAATTTCGAATCTAGGAAACAATTTTTCATGATTATTGGTCTTTAGGCCAAACATGTATGGAAGCTGAGCAATCTCTTTTGAAGTAAATCCATGCAGTACTTTTTGAGTTTATCCCGGACATGCACACAGACAAATAGACAAAAATTCTAAAAACTATGTTGTATGGCTACTAACTATGGCTTCGGTATCGATTGTAGATCACACCCTAGTCTTCTAAAAAATATATAATATACAGTTTTGATTTTCCTACCATTTTATTATATGTATAGATAATATTCTGAATTTGAATTTCTTGATTAAAATCTTTTGTTGAAATGTACGCAAGCCAAGCTCGCTTTGCCACGAGTGAATGCTGCCCTCAACACTCTTCTACAGCTAAGTAGACCAACATTGCGATTACTGGGCATGCTAATTTTAAAAGATATCTTTTTAACTTCGGTGTCACAGTCAGTTTCCTAAGCCGAGGATGCATGGAGGCTGAACACCGGGTGAAATATCTCGGCTCGTCGGAAATCTACCAAAAGGCGATTACCAATGTGAAGGGCGTAGGTGTCACCGGCAAAACACTCTCCTCACGCAAAAGAAGCGCCATATAGACGTCGAGTTATGGAAACGCCCGTAGTAAGAAGAAAATATCCTATTATTCTGTTTAACATACTCAACATTCTTCTCGTGGATCTGCACGAGGCACTTGAAGCCTTGTTGCGCACGCGCCAGCGAGTACTGCGACTGTGAGACTACTTTGATGGCACCGAACTATACTACTTACCAGGGCAGTATATGCCTTTCACATTATAATGGCTATTTGCATTATAACCACCTTATTATTATACCTTATTATAACCTACCTTCTTATTTGTTAATGAAATCTCTTTGACCTGAGCGGGCTATTGTCATTATCACCGCCTCCTTAAGCCCGTCGCAGACGTAGCTATAATATATATTAATATATCGAGATATATATTATATTATAGTAAACTTCTACAGATGGGAGCTATACTTTAATATACTATATTTTGGCAGGCGTTAGGTGAAAAATGGAACATTCCGTATCATAAAATTTATCAAAATATATACTATTATGTCAAAATATATCGAGATATATTTGTCGACATATTTTGGTGACGCCATAGAATTATATATTATAGATGCGTGTGCGGTCAAGCGAAAATTTATATTGAAAATATGTTGTAATATGTCTTGCTATGATTCATATTAATATATATTAAAGCTACGTCTGTGACGGGCTTTACTTCTTTCTTAAATTTCATTTACGTTTTTAAGATAACTCACCATTCTTCTCGTGAATCTGCACGAGGCACTTGAAGCTTTGTTGCGCGCGCGCCAGCGAGTACTGCGACTGTGAGACAACTTTGGTGGCGCCGAACTGTATGCGGGCCTTTCCTTTGACCAATGTGGCGGCTATTTGCATTATAACCGCCTCCACTGTGTACGCGGACGACCATCCTTGCTTGGTCAGTAGTTCCATGCAGATTGCGCCGCCTACTAATACGTAGCCACCTGTTGGACAATCAAAATAATTAACATCTGATGTTCATCGTTAGTCAAAATCATTAAAACAAAAAGGGAAGATACCGTACGTTCATAATAGCATCAAATGAAATATGCTCAGACTCAAATACATAAGCAACTCTCACACACGCAAACGTCTGTAAATAACCGAGGTCAGAGTCCAAATGGCCGAGCTGTATTGTTGTCCTTTTCTTGATAAAAAATTGAAGCGGAACCCTTTTGAGCTGCGAGTGCCGCATCTTCCCTTTTGTTTTAATCTAAGTGGTTAGCCTATTAATGTCCCCAAAGCTGGGGCACAGGTAGGGTTGCCAGATGCTGGCTTATCAATTCCGGGAATCCACTTCCCACCCCACCCACACCCCACTCCCGAAATAAAACAAATTAAAAATACAGGTCAGAACCGAATGCCTTTATATGGCTTCTGTCGATCAATTCCTGGACATTTTCACCAAGAATTAAAACCCTTTATATATAAAGAAACAGAAGCTATTTCTGTCACCCCTCGCAGTCCAATCCCAAATACATCCCTGATGTATGAAACGTGGGTATATTTATAGTAATATGTATTGTGAAAAAAACTGGTACATATTCGGAGAATCCGGGACAAAATGCAAAATTTCGGGACAATCCAGGATTACCCGGCAAACTGGCAAGCCTAGGCACAGGCCTTCCCTAAGGACGCCCTAAGAAGAATGAGCTTTGGATCCACCAAGCTCTCCCAGAGCTGATTGTCGAATTCTGGCTGCTGAGACCAACGGCTTAACGTGTTGTTCCACAGCATGAGGGAGCCCGAGATACAAAACTTTTGGTCACTGATCCTGTAACCGGTCATAGTTAAAGTTGCTTAACTTCTAATATTATTAATAACTGCGCCATAGAGCTCTCCTTCAAGACCATAATCTTCATCATCAGCCTATTATTGTCCACACTTCTAGGGCACGGGTCTTCCCTATAGATGGAATAGGGAGATTGCACCATGACCCACCACACGGGCCCAGTGCGGATTGGTCAGTGGTAACAATCAACCACTGTGAAAGATTTTGTTTACATAATTAAAAGCACGATGACAGATCTGATAAGTTTTCTGTACTGTCCGCATAGTGGCTCTTTTGTCGATTTAGTGCTGCCACCATACATGCACATTCCCTATAGCGCAGTAATTAATTAATACTGGAAATTAACCAAACAAAATATTCAGTGCTCCCTCGAGCTGCGGAAGACACGTTAAGCCGTTGGTTTCAGAAGCCAGAATTCGACAATACTCTGCCCCCCCCCTAGCATGAGAACCGAGATATGATATATGACGCGTTTCTATCACGCTAGTTGCCAAATTACTATGAAGTTTGAAAGTTAGATACAATTAAAAAGCTGATATAATGTAAATTGTGGTGCTCATGCTATGGGACTTGGGTCCGCTTGGTGAATCAAAGCTCATTTTCCTTACTCCATCCAAAATAAGGTCTGTGCTCCGACAGTTTCCCACAATGTCTATGATGTACGCCCAGCTAATTTCATCATCAACCCATGTTCGTCCACTGCTGGACATAGGTCTCCCCTAATGCACGCCACTGCTCCCGATTTTGTGCTACTCTCATCCAGCCCACTCCAGCCAGCCTACGAATATCATCATCCCATCTTGTCTCAGGGCGTCCGACACCATGTTTACCGAGTCGCGGTCTCCACTCAAGAACTTTCCGACTCCAACGTCCATCAGTTCTGCGTCTAATGTGACCAGCCCACTGCCACTTCAGTTTGCTAATTCGGTGGGCTATGTCGGTGACTTTGGTTCTAAGTGGGATTACATCATTTCCGATGCGGTCCTTCAGGGATACTCCAAGCATAGCCCTTTCCATAGCTCTCTGAGCGACTTTAAACTGGTGGATTCGTCCAGCCGTGAGTGTCCACGTCTCGGCGCCGTATGTCATAACTGGGAGGACGCACTGGTCGAAGACTTTCGACTTGAGACATTGAGGGATGGGTGACGAGAAGACTTGACGAAGCTTACGAAATGCTGCCCAGCCTAACTGAATTCTTCTATTGGCTTCTCTCTCGAAGTTGTTTCTGCCTAATTGGAGCGTTTGTCCTAGATAGACATATTCCTGAACAAACTCAAGAGGTACTCCATTAACAGCAACCAGTCCCGGATCAACGAGCTCGTTGAACATGACCTTGGTTTTATCCAAGTTCATCCGGAGACCGATGCGTTTGGAAGATTCAGCCAGGCTGCTCACCATCTCCTGTAGCTCTTGCAGGGTTTCAGCCAGGATGATGATGTCGTCCGCGAATCGGAGGTGTGAGATGTATTCGCCATTAATATTAATTCCACGTCTTTTCCAGTTGAGCGTTCCGAACATATCCTGCAGCGCAGCGGAGAAGAGTTTCGGGGATATTACATCCCCTTGTCTCACACCACGGCGCAGCAGGACAGGCTCGGTCTGATCATTCTGGAGTACGACGGACATATTAGCGGCGTGATACAGACATCTCAGCACCTCGATATATCGCCAATCAACTTGGCACCTCTGCAAGGCCTCAAGAACAGACCAGGTCTCGACGGAGTCAAAAGCTTTCTCATACTCCACAAACGCCATGCACAGGGGCTGGTTATACTCTTTGGTCTTCTGTATAATCTGCCTCACTGTGTGAATGTGGTCTATGGTGCCATAACCCCATCGGAATCCAGCCTGCTCCGCAGGTTGAGCTTCGTCAAGTCTTCGTGCAAGGCGATTCGAGATGACTCTTGAAAACAATTTATAGACGTGGCTCAGGAGTGAAATTGGTCGATAGTTCTTCAGTAAGGTCTTGTCGCCTTTCTTAAAGAACAATACGACCAAGCTCCGGTGCCACGCCCTTGGAGTTCTCCCGGAGAAAAGAACACAGTTAAATATACGCCGGAGCTCCTTCAGCACCGGCTTGCCGGCAGCTTTCAGAAGCTCGGTTGTGACTCCGTCCTCCCCCGGGGCTTTTCCATTTTTAAGTTGCCCAAGAGCCGCCTCGATCTCCTCTAGGTGGATGTCGGGGAGATCCTCCGTCACATGGCGGGTTAATGTGGCTCTTAAATCTCTCTCATCCGACGTAGGGTGGGGCGAGTGCGACGTGTATAACTGGCTATAGTAAGTATAAACTTCCGAAAGAATCTCTGGTTTCGACGTGACGACTTCTCCACTTGTTTTAGTCAACTTCGTAAGGTGGCTCCTTCCAAGCTGTTGTACGAAGACTTTAGACCCCCGGTTCTGTTCGAGGTCACGCCTTATCAGCTAGGAGATGGACTTATTCTGAGCCCGTTGCTCTGACGAAGTGACTAGTGGATCGTTTCGCCGCTTGTCCATTAGATCCAGAGTCTCTTTCGAAAGCTTAGACCGCTTGCCCGTACGTCGCAGCTTACAGAACTTCGCACCCTCGTCCCGAAGGATTTCTACCACTTGGTCGAGTTCCTCGTCGATGTCAACGTCAATTGTGGTTTCCAAGGCAGCGAATCGATTTTCCAGTTTCAGTTGGAATGCGTCAGAACCAACGGCTGATTGAAGCAGATTTGGCCGGAGCGTGGATTTCATCAATCGACAACGTTCGCGCTTAAAATCGATATTCAGAGTGCCTCTTAGAAGTCGGTGATCACTTCCAGTTTTAAACCTATTGATCACTGAGACATCTCTGAATATGCGCTTCTTGTCCGATATGATGAAGTCAATCTCGTTTTTGGTCATATTATCGGGGCTCCGCCACGTCCATTTCCTCTGGGGCTGTTTCTTAAAGAACGAATTCATTAAGGAAAGCCCCTCGCGTTCTAAGAAATTGACGAGCATTTGCCCCCTATGATTCCTACTCCCATAGCCGTATGATCCTAACATCGATTCGCCGCAGGTCTGTACTCCCACTTTAGCGTTGAAATCCCCCATGACAACGTTAAAGTGAGCCTTGGTGGTGGTGTGTAAGGCTCGAGAGATGTCCTCGTACATCTCTTCCACGACATCATCCGAGTATGTCGACGTTGGAGCGTACACTTGTATAACCTTTAGGCTATATCTTCTGGTTAATTTTATAATGAGGTACGCAACCCTCGCCGACACACTGGAGACTTCAATAACGTTGTCAGTGAGGACTTTGTTGACCAGGAACCCGACGCCGCCCTGTGACGGATTTTCTCCCTCTCTGAAGTACATAAGATGGCCAGACTTTAAGGTCAGCGTGTCCTCGCCCTCTCTGCGGACTTCGCTCAGCCCGAGCACGTGCCATCTTATGTGCTTCAGCTCCTCCTCCAGTTGTGCTAGATGAGAGTCGAGCCGTAGCGTGCGACCGTTATATGTCGCCAAGTTTAGTATTTTTTGGCGGCCTACGGAGATTTTTAGCACCCCCTGCCCTGCCGTAACCGAGACCGCCGCCTTGGACTGGAATAACAGGGCTACCGGGAACTGGGGGCCGGGACAATGTTGTACTTATCATGTAGGGGGAGTTTGGACCATAACCCACCATGCTGGTCCAGTGCGGGTTGGTGGGTGGTTTCGCCGGGGCCTCGTCTGTTATACAGCAGGACGCACCGCTTGCAGGGGAAGTTGGCTTCGGACCCTAAAGATGTTGTGTGGGCACCCTTGCGTCCCTGTTGTGTGGGCCCCCTTGCGCCCTTACACTTATATACTTAACAGCTAATTTACATTAAATAAAAATATCAGGCCGCCCATCTAGCAAATATTAACGAAATCCCTTTTAACCTTTACACTCGACTGGTTACCTGGAAGAGAATGCTATTAGCATTAAGTCCTCATTTTGTACCATTCTCTTGTATTTTGGTCAATAAAGTTTAAAATAAATAAATAAAGCCCATATTTCAAAATCAGTCACTCTCAATAAATATCCACTAGAAATTTGCCTTTGTTATTATTGTACATTTGATTCAATATAGACTTCCGATAAGGGAGTAATTGCATTATCTTTACCAGACAACATAAGTACAATAAATCAATGATTGAAACCAACACAAATGAACTTGTCTCACCTGATATGATTGGGTAAACAACACGTACAAAGGGCGGCTCGAACGGGTAGGTCTCTTTGAACATAATGTTGAGCAGGATGGAATCTTTGCCTTCTCTTTCTTTCAGCAGCAAGAGATCATTGTGTAGAGGGCTATCTGGGTCCACTGACCGAAGCCTGATGTTCCATTCATATAAGGAATCATTTATTAGCTCTGTGAAAAATATACATTTCTATTTTTAACATACATTAATTTGAGCATTAATAAAGATAATGTATAAATAGTCATGCATACAGGAAAAATAAATACAGAGTAAAGAAAAACAAAATTATTATTTTTCCCTATTGATAGATATCATAAATATTCCAAAATTAGATATTGGTGGTAGGTAGGCTGGCAACTTTTTAAGTTTTTTTTCTGGAGAACAATTAAATCCCATATGATTGAACTGTGAAAATGTATCTAACGGCCATTGTCAGAGATGTCAATTAAATTTTAGGTTCGACTAAAGGTGATGTTGTCCTTTCTTCGCGATAACAATAGAATGACACAACAAGTGACTTAATGAAGTATCAAATTAATCTGACATTTCTGATTACAGGCTCAGCATATACCTTGTCTCCTTTAACCCAGACATTGGCAGAATCGTCATGTAATGAGACGCAGCCATAATCACCAAAAATTTTATTTTAATGATGTTTCTAATTACTGCTGTTAACACTATATCTTTCCTAAGCTGTGCTCTACTAACTATACAAAAGACGTATATTTCATTTAGTCTTTATTTCTTCTCTAAGCTTCTACTTATTTATTGAAATTATTGGTTATATATAACTTATATTTTTAATGTTATTTATAGTAAGACATAGGCATTGAAATGTTACAATCACACTAATAATATAAAGGCGAAAGTTTGTGAGTATGTGTGCGTATGTTTGTTACTTCTTTACGCCTAAACGGCTGGAGCAATTTTAATAAAAAAATTGAGATGGAATTAGCTAACACCCTGGATTAACACATAGGGTACTTTTTACTGCGGGAAAATATCACTAATAAACCGCGGGTAGCAGCATGGGGCTAGTATAACATAATTTATATCGGCGACTGCTATATTACATACATTAAGTGTAGAATATTTATAAAACAGATCAATGAGAAAGTACAAGTCAGGTCATATAGGAGATGAATCAGCTATTACTTCACCAACAAGAGCACATATATAAAGCTATTAAATCAATACACTAATGTGATGAACAGTAAATTTATTGAAGCATTCATATCTATATAATATTTATATAAAGAGATTCTTGTAATTCCATTTCTATGTTGCTGATGATTGTTTAGTTATTTGTACATCTTTTTACCTGAACACAGGAATAAACCTAATTTACGTTAAGTATTTTCTTTACCTTTTGTTTATGAAGAACTCTTTCAGTTCAGAAACTCTCAGTTTATGTAAAACATTATAATGAATAAAGATTTCATTATTATTATAATTATGTGGTGGTGAACCCAAAAAATTAAAAACGGAATAGAGGTATGGTATAGCGTAGCAGATTTTCCGCTCGAATTGAAGCGCCCATCTGGGGAAGCCACTTCCACCTTACAGAAGACCACAGTAAAATAACACTACCTTTTGGTGTGGTGAAGTTACTGTCAGTAAGATTCCAGGGTTCCACATAGTATGGGATTGGGTCAGGGTAAGAAACAACTCAAGTGATATTTTTTGTACCGCAAGCGTCTATAGGTCAAGGTGGCCATATACCATGGTCATACGCTTATTTGCCACCCTTTTAACATTTATTTATTTATTACACATTGCTCATGTGTAATCATTTTATGGCCCAAAAATGTTGTAGGTTAATTCATATTAAATCAAATCAGTTCAAACCTAATTTAAACAAAATCAATAAAATTTAACAATTTAAAAAATTAATCAAGTCAAATTATATTATATCATCATAGTCAAATCATAATCATATCATAACAAGTTAAATTAACAGATCAAACATAATTAAGTTAAATTAAATGAAGTAAAATACTAAGTTTATTTATTATTTACAAATTTATGTATCATTTATAAATGCATTAACAGAATAATAGGCTTTTTTTAAAATGTTTCAATTTATTCTAAAAGGTGTGTTAATATTAGTGTCTGTTTTAATAGTAACGAGTATTTTATTATAAATCAAGATGGATCGGTATAATGGTCCATTTTTATACATCTCTAGTTTAGGTTCGGGAAGAATCAGATTAAATTGGCAGTGAGGATTATTATTACATACTAAAAATAATAGCAATGGAAAAAGAATTTGTTCACATACCAATGGAATACATATTATTCTTGAACGAGTGGCTGCGATATATATCGCGCAGCTCCTTCATGAGGCGGTCAGTCGCCTGCAGGCTGCCGGACACGCTACCCGACAGGTAATCAGCGCGCTGGTTCTGCCGCAGCCGCTCTAACGTCGCCAGGTGTTCAGTCTCCATGTCGTCCTGGAATGCCCACCGTTACTTAGGGACCGGTCTTATCTATACTAATATTATAAAGAGGAAAGATTTGTAAACTTATAATGGCAGCTGGGAAGTTAGTAGGGCACAATCACTTTTTTTTTAACCCCGAACTGATTGAATACGACTACTGGTCCCCGGATTGGGAGTCGCCGCAATCACTTAGGGACCTGCCTAATCTTTACAGAGGAAAGATTTGTAATCTTTTACCGCCTCATTACAAAACGTTGACGAAAGTTAAACCTTTTTATTTATTTTTTTGTCTGGGAAATGCCTTACGCATTCTTCAACCACTGGGGGAGCGAGAAGAAGGTATGTGGGACTCCTCCCTGCCCACTTCAGCCAGCGCCGAGGCTCGCTGAAGTGAACCGGGCCCTACCCACGCCCTGAACAGGGCAACTAAAATCCAGACAATACTCCTGCACACCCAACACGCAATATGAGGACCGCAGTCCCCCTAATGCGTGCCGAGAGGGCGGGTTTGGTCGCGGCTCCCGTTTCCGAATGGCTACGTACTTAGGGACCTACTTAATCTTTACTAATATTATAAAGAGGAAAGATTTGTAATCTTTTACCGCCTCATTACAAATCATTGACTAAAGTTGAATCTAAACTGATGCTGTCTGTCACTTTTGCTTGCAGAACACAAGGAAGAAGACAGAGACAGCATTCGGTTTAAACCATGACTAACTTAGTCCGCGGTTTGGAAAAAGACAGTTACTGGCAGCTGGGAAATTAGTAGGGTATAGTTATTAAGGGACCTACCTTATCTATACTAATATTATGAAGAGGAAAAATTTGTAAGCTTTTCATAATATAGGCGCGCGCGGGATCTCAGTAAACTGAAACCTGCGAATAGTTGCGCAAGCTGCTTACTTCACAACCGCCATGAACTTTGAATCGCGCTATCCCCCCCTAATTAATAAACGAGGAATAAGCTTAGACTAGTTACGCCAAGTTTTTTATTGCACTTAAATGTCATTTATCATTCAATGAACAGAGACAAAACATGGAGTAATTAACCCATGCTTATTCTTTTTGATTTTTTAAGTAATTTCACCATTAGAAAGCAATTTTTTCTTCATAACAAATTTCGGCCATTGAACGCTACTAAAATATAAGTATACCGTTAATTGTAAACATAGAAAATGGACTAAGTGTTCTCTGTATAGCTGTGAATTAAAACTAAGCAGATAAGTGTGAGGAGCTCGATGGGACGAGTGGTCCGCGTGTTCGAGTGGTCCGCGCGTTAAATCTGCGATCTTGGAAGTGCAGCAACTTTAGCAATTCAGCTATAGGATGGGTCACAAAAAATATTATAAACTGTAGGTACAGCTTAACAATGACTTAATATAAATTCGGGACCACTGATGAACTCAAGATATTTTTTTATTACCCATCCAATAAACAGCCTTAATGAAAATTACATTCTACAATCACAAACCATTGATATGTCTGCCACCTCATAGGCCATTGGTGTTCATTTATTCATTTATCCAAATTACTGATGATCAGCAAAAATTGTGTCCACAATTACAACCTTGCCTTATCTTAGCAGTCTAAGAAATACAAGAAGAAATTTGATACAACCATTAAGGTCTTGGTAGCATTATAAAGTGCGTCTGCCCAGTAAGCAGAAGGTGCAGGTCGGGTTCTGTCTGATGCCTGGACTGAGTAGATTTTATTTTGTTAAAATTTCTTATAGATCTATAATTCTAGCAGTTGGTTTTTTCTGTTTTGAGGGGACGTTTAGACGAAATTGTCTATGCTGGGCCCAATCGCAACCTTTTTTTTCGATGACGGGGAGCAAAAATGGGTTTCTGTCAACAAACCCTCGCGACGCAGGTAATTGCGTGGTGCATTGACCATACGATTTTCCTAAAATTCATTATTGACTACACAAAATGACGGCTACCCCGTACATCAGCCTAATCCAATAGGGGGTTGAGAAGTTTAATGATTAAAATAATAATATAGCTAACCTTATTGCTGCGTCCAGCATCATCAACCATTTCTAAAGGCAAATCGTCCTCGCCCTCAGATTCATCCTCTTCGGCAGCCATTTCTTCATCCTCCTCAGTGCCTGACTCTGCACCATTTGACGTGACGCTGGGTAATCTACAGAGAAAGAATGCTTTTATCTACAGAGAAAGAAAATCTGCTAATTAACAAAGCAAAACAATGTACACGCGCTCTTTTCTCCCTCTTGCTGTTTAAATATTTATTTGAAAACTAGACATCACTTTAACAAATGGCTTATATCCAATCGAAATAAAATCATACGTCTTTATGTCTACCTTTTCTAATCCGGTCAATTTAGACAGAAAGTAAGAGTACATAAAGGTACATAAATTTAGATCAAGCTGGAAGTGAGTAAAATTGTTGAAAACATAATGGAATTTTGAAATGTTATTTTTATTTATGTTATGAACACTTTTACTCACTTCCAGCTTGATGTAAATTGTAAATTTATGTATCATAAACCAATAATTGTATAAGTAGTTGTATTTTGAATTGAAATCATGTTTTTATACGAAATACAAAGTTATAGCAATATTCTTTGCAGCTCAGCTACTAATCTACACATGATGTATATGTTTTTAATAATCAAAGCTAGTTCTGTACTCTTTCATCATCAAAATCAATATATCTAAAAATAACATCTATCATAATGTGCAAATCAAGATTCAGTCCAAGACTTCCAAGGCTTGAGTACAAGACACTTTTATGTATTAATGAATTGGCAATGTCACTATTTATATCTTGTCTCTATATTTGAAGCTAGTGACAAATAGATTAATGTTATCAAATAAAAAAGCAAACTTTATTGTATTGATATATTAAAAACATGTAGATACTATGATTTTTCACGGAAACTATCCTATGTTATACATTAAATAACTAGAGGTGGGCCAACTGGCTGCCGACTATTAGGGAAAGCAGACTAATTATGATGTAGGGCTAGAAATCTCAATGTTTCGGCTCCATCGGGGAGTAGACGAATTCATTGCGAATGAAAATTTAGGTAAACAAAACACGTCACAATATGCTCAGCGGACGCGCAATGACTCGTGTCGTGCGTGAGCAAACCAAATAATGGCGAAACATTTCGAACACCTTCCTTAGATATACTAGTCAATTCGAAAACTTGGCTAGTCGATTAGTCGACAAATACTATAGTCACCCAATCTCTAGTAATAAAACATAACATGAATAATTTTCGCACTGACAGTAAAAACTTATTGAAAATCCATTCACTTGTTTCAAATATTATCTTGAAAATACTACATACAGATAGACATGGTGGGGACATTGTTTAATCCTAAGTAATATTATTGTTTGTTTGTTACGCTTTCACAAATAATCTGCTCAATCAACTAGCATATTTTTTGGTATACAGATAGATATGAGATGGTTAAAGGCTACTTTTTTCCAAGAATAACTTATAGGGGGTTGGGGTGAGGTAAGGGTAATAATTACAGATCAGATATGTATTTATGTAAAGATTAGATGTTGGTTATTATGGAAAGCACCTTTTTTTCAAAAACATCTTGAGCTTACAGGAAATTCAAATTTTATTATAAGAAAGCAATTAATGTATACGTGATATCTAATAAACCCAGATACAAATGACAGTGGCACTGTGTGTACAACATAAAAATATTGTGTAAGATGACCTTAATGAATAAATAAATTCATATTCATTAATTTTTCTTATTAACCACACTACCACTTCTCTTATACTTTTACTCAAATAGGAAAATAACATTTAAGTTAAGTAAATAATATCCATCCTATTAGTTATGCGATCATGAGTCCTGGGATATTATATTTAATAATATTATCCTAAGAGGCTGCTTACATAATTTTTTAACCAAAAAATAACTTTAGGTAAGTATATATCAGCTTATCGGAGCTCTAGTAATAATACATAAGTATGAATGCTCTAGTAATAATACATAAGTATGTGTATGACGACCTCCGTGGCCGAGTGGTTTGTACGCCGGGTTTCATGGTATCGCCGACTCGAGATGTCCCGGGTTCGAATCCCGGTGGGGGCAGATGTTTGTGTGATGAATACGAGCATTTGTACTCCAGTCATGGATGTAAAATATTTATTTCTATATAAATATACTTATATATGTACAGTATATGTATTCTATGCGTTACCATCATCCCATAACACAAGCCTTACAGTGCTTACTTTGGGGCTAGGCTAATTGGTGTGGATGTTGAAAATATTTATTTATTTATTATACTCACCTCTGTTGTGGAGCAGGGTGGACTGGTAATGCGAGGGAATCTAAATCTGGTGGTTCAGGGACACCATGTAATTTGCATAGCTCTCTCAACAATATACCAACCTAAAAATAAATAGAAGAAGTTGACTAATTGATTTCAATATATTCATATAATTTCTTGAAATAAATTACAGAAAGAATAGGTTAAGATTTCAGATAAGTGGGTTAACATTGTAGAGATTTTAGAACCAACAAAGAATCTTTAAAATGTTTATTTATAACAAAAAAAGTGAAAAACAGTCATAAACAAATTAAATTTAGTATATCAAACCAATTTCCTTTGCTTAAACATGACATCTTATTTAGTTTTGTTTTTCAGGTAAAAATTTTCTTTTAACATGTAGCAGTAAATATCAAAATAAAATATAATAATAGAGCAATGTTTATTCTCCAAGAGCCAAGAAATAGCTTTCAGTAGATACACTGTAAAGAACAAAGTAGTCACAATTTATCTTCCAATGAGTTCAATAGTTTTTAATTTTGTGCAGATGATGGACAACAATGGTTGATAAAAGTCAATGTAGTCATTGTTTTTTGACTATTAATGCATTTTATGTAAAAAAAAGACTTCAAACAATCAGCATTTTTGGTAACTGTACTGCCAACAAACTAATTGTTAATTAATTGTTTAATTTGTCCTTCCTCAAGTTCTTTTAATAAATAGCTTTGTATACATAGCTTTATGAGGAAATTATATAGAGTACATACAAAATAGTATCAAATGTCCAGGAAGGAAGGAAAAGGTAGAGGAATATTTGTGAAAACAATAATTATTATACCATAATAAAGTAGATCATTCAGAATAGAACAACTTTCTGATTCATATTTAAAAGAAATATTGCTAGAAAGTGGCAGTAAGCTTACTTTTTCATATTCTGACAATATATAAAAAAACATGTTTATATCTTAATATTGAAAGATATGCATCATTATTTGCCCTTAATAGTAAAAAAAAAGTCGACAATTGGTACATTATTTTTCACACTTCCCAATAATCAATTGTATAACAACATTTATGAGCTTTAAACTCCAATTTTATACTAAAAATGTTACTCACTTGGTTTATGACATGATTGTCTCTCCCCTGTGTATTACTGAGGATCTGTACAGCATTTGTCACAATAGGATCTTCACTGTCAGCGAACCAAACTGGTGGTGTGTTGGGGTATGTTTCCTAACATTAATGAAAAATTTTATAAATTCAGGTTTAATTAATTGACTAAAATTATACAAAAAATAAAAAAGTAGCAATGTTGAATAAATGTAAGTACTTTACAAAACTTATCTAAGAGAACACTCATCCTGAACTATCTAACTTTTGTAAATGTAAAGAGAGAAATTGTAAACATAATTAAATATTTGAAGTAAAGTAATAACTAATCAGTCATCTTATAACATTTCAGCTTCATTATTCAAAAGGTGGGCATTGAACCACTTCTACTAGCAGTAGAAATTACAATACAACTACTGCTAATCTGTAAGTAATGTAAACAATCATAATATTTTTGTTTACATAGCAAACTAACATAATACTTAAAGCAAACTATTACTGTTCACAGTTCTAGACTGAGACACTATTTCATATTATCACTTGAGCAAACAAAAAATGCAATGCTGGGGTAACCATTAAGATGTCTTCTCCACAAAAAAAGGTACTAGAGGATGACTAAGTTTCTTTGTCCCAAAAACGCGGTCGTATACCGTTACCCAAACAAAAAAGATGTTAGTGTCTAAAAAACACAGCTATAATGCAGCGAATGAAACGACACCCTAGATTCAACTTTACTAAATTGAAAAATGATCGATAGACCTCGTCTGACCCGTATGCGAAAAACCAATATTGATAACAGATGGTTATTATTGACGAGCAGTAGAGTATACCTAAACGCATACAAAAGGGACGCTATGGACTATTGCACTGCATGAAAATTGAAGAGATTATGTGGAAAATACTGGATCAAAACAGGTAAAGCTGGATTTACTTCCGTAAACCTCTTTTATTGACAGCCCTGCCCTCATAAACAACGACCCTTTGTCCCACCGTACGGATAATCAATAAACTCACCCTTACACTAAAAGTAACTTTTAACGAAAATGAATAATATTTGAAGGTACTTACGGTAATATTAGCATGTATTTCATATTTCTTGCCATTTCTGCCAACGAATCTGCAGGTCAGTTCGTCGACACTAGCAGACATTATCTGAAACCGTTCATGATTTTTGGGAAAAACTTGTTCTAAGGTCTTAATTTCTAACTTAAGTGTATTTAAGCAAGCCATTAGTGTATTGATACACTAATTTTAAACTAAATAACAAATATATCCCCGATAAAATACATAGGATTAAATTTTACGTTCACTACACGACCAAGCAAAATGGCGGAACGCAATGGCGGAAACCGTAATGATTACTGGTCTATGGTATAGAGGGCATTAGTGTCATTATTTTTTCTTTTTTGTTAGAACTCTTTCTAGAAGGTAAAGTCAAAGTGAAATGCATGGACGCTACGTCCATTCTTTGGTGAAAAGTAATAAAATGAACCATTCATTTAACATCAAGAACAAACATTTCGATGGGGTCCTATTGTGGTCTGATAACAAAGCAGACCATACCAGCCAAGCGGGGGGAAGGGGACGGTCAGGGAGGTCAGTTCGACAGGGAGGTCAATGGTGTCCGGCCGGTCAAGGGTTGTCGAAGGCACCCCTCAATCTTACCTCACACCATAGTTATACTAAGTCTATGTCTCATACACACCGTGGAACGTGTAACTAACTCGCGATGCACGAAGAAGTGTGACGCTAGATAACGTGACATGACGTCACACACGTTCATCGATTTATAAGACATTATCAAGTCGAAATATCAGTTATACATTTGATGTAGATTATGGACAACTTTGAATGGTCTAGTATGAATAAGTATAGATCATAAACATAATAAACTAGGCATAGGTTTAAGTGAGTTTTTAAATTCCTGAACTTCCAAAATACAGTGACGACATCAAAATTAAAAGTTTTCTTTTTAATTTAATTAAAAAATTGTGATAGAATTTTTGTTTTTAATTTCCAAAAATAAAAGTCGTCCTATTTCAAAATGTTCATTCATAATATTCAGTTTAATTAAGTAGGTCCATGATAACATTTGTTATAAAATTATGGGTTTTGTAGTAAATAATTTCTTTATTTTCATTTTTCTCGGTGGATATTACAATGTAGTTATGTGTTGCACAACAACCCAAGAAACATTATCGTACATACCAGCATTTCAAAATAAAAGAATTCTAAGAAAAAGTATTTGGTAAGGCTGTAGGGAGTCTATATCCTTTGCCTGCCAATACAGGGAGAATGGCACAAAAAAATACCTGCCCATTAAGCTTCTTTGTTTTGACAAGTTAAACAAGTTTTCGAAGCATAATTTTGAAGATTATTTAAATTGCTTGTATTTTATTAAATATTGTTTGTGATGGATAGAAGTTCAAGCCTTCATGGAAGTAGTTCACGTAAACGCAAAAGATCACAATCCCGAGATAGGGATAGAGTAAAAATATGTTTGAGTCCAAGTTCCACACAAAACATAAAATCGGATTTCAGTTTTTTAGATTATAAGCGAAATTTAAACAAAATTTTACTTTATAGTAATGAAAGTAACACAGTAGTAAATAATCTTGAGGACTTTTGGGTGTTTACCGCCAAGTATGAAGCTATGTTAAAAAAAGTTGGTAAACCACTTGTTCAAGATTCAAGAAGTAAACAAGAATTTAACGACATAGGTGTATCAGTTCAATTTTCCAAGTCTGAATGTATAAATTTCTCCACTAGAATAAAGTATATTGACACTTCTATTGATGAAAGGGGAAAGCAAAAACTTGACAAGAATTTATTTGAAGCCTTTCTAAATATTGTATCTACGTATGTAGATTTTAAGAATAAAGAAAAATTTGACAAACTGAAGAAGTTGAGGCAAGCTCAACAAGATTTGCCTGTGGCCAAGTACAGGTATACTAATAATGTTACAGTTAATTCTTATGACTTTGTAGATGGCTTAAAAAGTAACAACATAGAGTTTTTCTTGACTTTATCAAATAATCATGATCAATTTGTAGGCCAACTATCTCATATGATTATTACATTAAAAATTGATTGTTTCAGAACTGAAATAGTATCAGCTGTACAAGATAAAAGAGTTGTTATAGTAGCTGGTGATACTGGCTGTGGGAAATCTACTCAGGTTCCACAGTATCTACATGAAGCTGGTTTTCTAAATATTGGTTATTACTATATGATATTAAGAAACATATTTTATGATTTATACATTTTATTATTTATAGTATTTTATTCTTTATTGCAGTGTGTTGTTGAAGTATTATACAAAGGTGACTGTAAATATAACTGTCCACTCATGCTTTCACACTTAAAACCATTTGGTTCTATTAATAGTATAATAACTGTGTCTGTTACTCATTTTCTCTATATCACTGAACCAATTTTGTTGAATTTTAGTATAAAGGGACCTCAGAGAAAGATATAATTCTAATTGTGTTACAAAAATGGAAATTGATGAGGGCAAAATACAAATTAACAGTTTGTGTGGGAAACAATTCATTTCATGTAGATCTGCATCTTCCTTTTCTCAGGGGATGATCACATCAAAACAAGCCTGTAAAGCCCCTATGGCCGTAGGCTTCCCCCCACAAGTGTGTTTTAGTCAATAAGAGTCTGACATAAGGAAGTAAGGTATCCATCCATCCATGAGGATTTCTCATCTGCTGCCTGTTGCTGGAGGCAACAAAAAAAACATGCAGATAAAATGAAAAGATTTAGACACAATCACACCTGTCTAGTCACTACATTTTCTCATAATTTTAAATTGAATGCAATGTTATTATTTTTTGTATTTTGTTGCATTATAATCTTGCTATATGCATTTTGATCCCAAATGTTTGGTAGGATAATATGATTAAGTATAGGTATTACAAAATTATAAATTATAGCAAAAGGATTTTAATTTTATTATTAATATGATTTAAAGGATTATTTCAAAAGATTAGCTACTTGAGTTGATTTGAAAAAAGTAATGCTATGCTCAGTAATTTAATTATTTTGTCATTTGGAAATATGTAATACTTCAAAGACACATTGATGTATAGATAATTATATGAATACATATTTCATATTTTTCCAGCCTGCACCCAGCCAAGACGTATAGCATGTGTTTCACTTTCAAAAAGAGTTGCATTTGAAATGCTGACACAATTTGAGTCGAAAGTGGGTTACCAAATCAGGTTTGAAAAAAGCAAAACTGCTGATACAAAAATTTGCTTCATTACAGAAGGTTTGCTGTTAAGGCAGGTTAGAAAAAACACTTATTTTAGTTAAAATATTTATATACATATAAGATACAGTTAGTTACTAATAAAAATGTGTTTTCTTTTTAAGTTACATCTTTTGATTTATTAAATCTTAAAAACAAATTGTGAATGAAATATAAAATGACATTACCAGTATTGACCTCAACCATTGGTAGTTCTGAGTACCACCTGCAAAGTTTATTTGTTGATATTCTTTGTTTATTTTTACTTACATATTGTATTATATATGGCAGATATTTTTTTTTATTTAGTAACATAACACAAATCTTTGTTAATTACAGATGTCGTCTGAAAATTTGCCAAATTATGATGTTATCATTCTTGATGAGATCCATGAGAGGCATTTGATGGGAGACTTTCTGCTTGGTGTCCTGAAATGTTTAATACATAGCAGAAATGACATAAAGCTTGTCCTGATGTCAGCTACAATTAATATTAAACTATTTGAAAATTATTTTACTGCTGAGTCAGCAGCAGTCATAGAGGTATATAAAAACAATGTATGTAAGAGTTGAGCCTAAGGATAGAGAACTGAAAAAAGTCGCTATTTTTTAGGTTCCTGGAAGGTTGTTTCCAATAGAACTGCACTATAAACCTATACTGATAGAAGACAAACCAACCCGTGATGATAGGTTGGATCCTCAACCATATGTTCAGATAATGCAACTGATTGAGAGCAAATACCCGAGTAAGTATACATAGCCATATTCATAATGTAAAGAGAGATACAATAATACTGTTTTTTTTTGTGTCTGGGAAATACTTTATGCATCCTTCAACCACCGGGGGAGCGAAAGGTATGTGGGACTCTTTGTAATAGTTAAAAATATATATAAGATGGTGTCAAATGTAATAATAAAATAAAATGAAATGGTTAGGCCGAAATTAATTAAAAAGAATACTCGGGCGCCAGACCTACCACATTATTATTAAACCATATTAGCCAGGAAAGCATTGGACTATTAATCGCAAAGGGGGCTTAATGCAAATCCATACTCATTTTGGGTTGTCTATATATTGAAATTTACTACAAAATTACTGGTCCAAAAAGGGTTACGACTAAATTTAGAAACTACTTTATATACTATGACTACCAAGATGTAAGTGAAAATTTTACCTTATGGGTTCTGGTACAACAATGAATTTGGAAAGTTACCGACCTCGCTGCATGCTCGATGTTTAGGTATGTCTGGTGTTGAGAATGTTTAAGGATGGCCGTTGTTACATCACGGGGCTGTTCACTTCCACATCATGGGAAATGTTGAAATTTAAGTAAAAATCCAAATAAAAAATTCTTTTCGCGTTTTATAAACAAATTAAGCTTGGAATGTGGTCGCCGCCATTCCGTGCAAACGGTGTAAAATATTTCATCATTAAAAAATAATAAGATTAGTATGAATTACTTTGTAATTCATTATGATTAGCAGCGAACCATTTCGCTCCTGTAAAATTACGACGTGAAGTGAAGTGACATTCGTTTTTTCTTAAGTTCGTTTTCTCTTCCCGGGTAGGCAAAGAGAACAACGTCCATACAGCATACTGCTTGATTAAGGCAGAAACATAATTATTCAAAAGTGCACAGATTAACGAAAATGGGCGCGAGATAAAAACGAACAGAGAGAGACAACCTAAGAAAGTCTTCTATCTCGCTCTTCGAGCGAAGGAGATTCATGTAACGTTTTTAACACGTTACATCTTGCCTGCCCAGCTCATTTCATTCAGCCCTAGGTCTCGATGAAATGTGCAGGGCCCTACCTACGCCCTGAACTGGACCACTAAAAACCAGACAATACTCCTGCACCGGTCACCCGACACGCAGAGGACCAGAGGACCTCAGTCCTCCTAATGCGAGTAGAGAGTGCGGATGTAGTCGTAGCAGCTGATTTCCAACTGGCCACGCATCTGCCGGTGTTTCCCATTGCTGGATCCGCCCCGATGATAATGCCCCGGAGTATCAGGGGCATCAGCATCCAGAGAGCTTGTGCAATGCGAGCCCGTCCTCCCCCAGGTCAGGCCCGCTGCTCTCACGGGAGTGGGAGGGAGAGCGTAGTTCTCTCCGTCCCTCTCCCGCCCCCCAAATACAATAATACTGAATACACAGCTTGGGAGTATGCCGTAGACGAGCTCCGTGCCCGAGTGGTTCGTACGCCGGGTTTCATGGTGTCGCCGACTCGAAAGGTCCCGAGTTCGAATCCCGGTGGGGGCAGATGTTTGTGTGGTGAATACGAGCATTTGTACTCCAGTCATGGATGTTAATATGTATTTCTATATAAATATACTTATATAATGTACTGTATATGTATTCTATCCGTTACACTAGTATCCCATAACACAAGCCTTACAGTGCTTACATTGGGGCTAGGCTAATTGGTGTGTGTTGGAAAAAAAATAGTCATATTCATAATGTAAAGAGTGATACAATAATACTGAACACACAGTTTGAGATTAAACCATAACAAATGATGTATGAAGCTATGTTTAAAAAGTTGGTAATATAGTACTTGACAATTTAATTGTATCCATTATTATTAGTCAAAGGACTAAAACCGACATATTAAATGCACATGTAAAAAGCTATTAGGTCCAAGCACGAATTTTGTAATTGTATCGCATCGTTACAGTTTCTATGAAAACTAGCAGCGCCCCTACCGGACGTAAGAAGAAACTAGCTCCTTCCAAACAAATTTTATAATGAAAATATGATTACGGAGCTGTCAAAATTTGTGCTAGGGTTCTCTTATGAGTACAGTATCCTTTACTTTATCTTTTATCATCATCATTATTATCAGCCTATTAATTTCCCCACTGCTGAGGTACAGGCCTTCCCTATAGATGGCGTAGGTGGAATGGGCTATGATTCACCATGCGGGTTCTGCAGATTGGTGGGTGCTAACGACTGCAAATGCAACCGGGACCAACGGCTTAGCGTGCCTAGAGGGGCACGAGATGATAAGTCTTTGGTCACCCAACCAATGACCGACCATTGCTAAACTTCCACGATGGCAGAGCGAATGCGTTAAACACTTGCGCCATAGAGATTCTCTGAATTATCTTTACTTATCAGTGTTTTTTTTTGTTACAGGCGACGAACGCGGGGATTTACTCATATTTATGTCAGGCGTCCAAGAGATCACAGCAATTTGCGATGCGGCACAACAGTATGCGGAAAAAACTAAGAAATGGATAGTGCTGCCGCTGCATAGCGGTCTGTCTTTGATAGAACAAGATAAGGTACATGAAAATAACATCCATAGTAGAGGTAGTCAGGCTACTTATGTCAGTCTCAGAGAGAAATAAAAAGTGTGTTTGCTAACTGTAAACTTTCCTCAGCGGGCAGTAATAGTTGGAAACTCCATTAGGGACTTGGAATTAGAAATTAGATTAGAAACACAAAGAAACGCCGTATTTTTTATAGTGTAACAGCTAACTCGCCTATTACAATCTTTTATTTAGTTTCTTCTATTGTGGTGACTGTTTGTATGTAATTGTCTTGCAAGTTAATTTGACCGTTTTCTGATTGAGCTTAAATATTTTTATGATTATGATACGAAATTTTTGGTTAAATTTTATTTCCGCAGGTCTCTTTTTTGTAACTAGTAATAACTTGCGACTGCAATACCACTGACTTCCTGATATTTTTTTTGTATAAATATTCCTTCATATGACAATATCACCGTAGTTCAAATCAGTAATGAATATGAGTGTGATGTTGTTTCTGTTTTAAATAATGTTTAGCGTCATTTTCGGCAATGTTTTGCTATAGCTTATGATTTCATTTTGTTATTTCTAACTACTGAAGGTTTTCAAATACCTCACGCTCTCAATTATCTTTAATATTGTTATTACTGAAGCAAAAGAAAAAAAAGCGCGAGGCATTTGAAAACCGTCGGCGGTCAGAAACAACAAAATGAAATAGTAAGCTGTAGCAAAACATTGCCGAAAATGACGCTTAACATCATTTAAAACAGAAACAAACATCACACTCATATTCATAACCGTTTTGAACTACAATGAATATGGTACTATGACGGAATTTTTACACAAAAAAATATCAGAAAGTCAGTGGTGTTGTAGTTGCAAGTTTTTACTACATACTTTCAAAGAAAGAGACCGGATAGAAGCTATAGCCATAGCAATCCTAATAGGCAAAAGATCACAAATCCATTTGCCTATTAGATAATAGACCTGCCGATAGTTTGGCTACACTTTCGAAGCTCGAACACACCCCGGTCGTTATTGTTTCCTCAGCAATTAACAATGTTTATATTTCAAAAGGTGTTCGACTACCCTCCAGAAGGTGTCAGAAAATGTATTGTGTCAACGAACATCGCTGAAACCTCAGTCACCATCGATGGCATCAGATTTGTCGTGGATTCGGGTAAAGTAAGCAAATCACTCTTTGTAGCTACATAAACTGAATTTTTTAATGAAAAAAAAATCACACTAATTTTATGAAGGCGAAAGTTTGTGAGTGTGTGAGTGTGTATGTTTGTTACTTTTTCACGTCTAAACGGCTGGAGCGATTTTTATAAAAAATGGTATAGAATTAGTTAGCCGACACCCTGGATTAACACATAGGCTACGTTTTACTGCGGGAAACTATCCCTAATAAACCGCGGGTAACACCGCGGGGCACGCTAGTTATAACTGTGTACCCCAGTAATGCGAAATGGACTATAATAAGTGACTTTACCAGCACTCATTTGCAGGGGTTGTTTCTTTACGTGCTTTAAAATCCTGATGCTAGCGCTTTTATGAAGTTCTCAACTTTTGTCTATTGTAAAAAATCCATACTCTGTATTCATGGAACCTTTTTCGTTCTTTTCTTTCTATATTAATAGGTCAAGGAGATGAGTTATGATTCCACAACTAAAATGCAGAGGCTTAAAGAGTTTTGGATCTCTAAAGCAAGCGCTGATCAGAGGAAAGGCAGAGCTGGTAGAACTGGTGAGCTCTTATAGTTATAACTTTTTCTAAAGTTACATTAAACCTAACATTATTTATCTGCCTGTTTATCAATTTTAATATATGTTTGAGGAAAAAGAAGCAATCACCGCCTCCGTCCGCCTGAGTATTGTTGAATGTAATTTTGCACGATGTTTATTTATTTATTTTATTTATTTATACTTAATGCACAAGTGTACAAAGGTGGACTTAATGCCATAGGCATTCACTACCAGTCAACCATAGCGTGTTGTGGATAAATAGTGGTAGGGTGCACAAATTAGATGGAAAAAAGACGAACATCATGACGTAACAACGAAAAAGATGTTCGCGTAGGTAATTTCACCAGGTTGTCTCGTTTTGTCACACGACGATAGATGGCGTTCGAAAGTTCCGTTCGCGTCGTTTATTTTACACTGTTGTATTGGTGTAGCCATAGGGCGAAAGATGGCGCTAACATTGTATTCAATCTACGCATTAAGCTTATGGACTGGTAACCTCTAAATTGTGACCATTTTCAAACAATCGAAAGGCACCTCGGAACAGCATTACAAAGACACGGAGGTGTTCAGTACGCCCCAAGTGTCGAGGGTTCCGTTAGCTTCATTTCTACGCACCCTGTTGTATTGGTTTTGCCATACCATAGATGGCTCTAACTGTAGATATCTTTTGCTGATACATCCTCACGGCCTGGAAATCTCTAAATTATGCATATTTTTATACCTTCCAAAGGCCCCGGCGTTTGTTACCGAGTATACTCGGAACAGCAGTACAGTGACATGGAGGCGTTCAGCACGCCCGAAGTGTCCAGAGTTCCGTTAGCTTCCCTGCTACTTCTCATGAGCTCGCTGGGAGTCAATGACGTCAGAAGGTTCCCTTTCTTGGACTCGCCACCCGAAGAAGCGGTGGAGAATGCCCTTTTAGAGCTAAAGCAACATGTATGTATGTTTCCTACTCATTCCATTTCTAAAATATCATATAAATAAGTAATGTTTAGGAATAATATTATTTAAATGTATTAAACATTTGCATGCTATAAAATGGAGTGGATTTTGAAGAACCAGTGTTAAAATTAACACCTTATCATTTATGATTTTATTTATTTTTAAGCATTTAACTGCTAGATGTTAAATCTAATAATCTAATAGTTAAATGCTTAAAAATAAATAAAATCATAACTATAATTGCTATTTCTTCTTTCAAATGTTTAATACTTGAAAAAGTATTCATTTGACATTGTGGGTTACCTACAATGCGAAGAGATGGCGCTGCCTTGCAGCTTAACGCTAGGAAAATTTCGACGCGGCTAATAGGGCCGTGGTAGCATAATGGTCAGTGCATTCGCCCGGATTGCGAAGGATGCGGGTTCGAGTCCCGTCCGCTGCCTGGTCCGCGTGGATTTTTTTCTAGTAAACTTTACCTTATCATTTATTCATAAATCTAAAGAAATTTAAAAAGAACTTTTTACTGGAATACAGAAATAATTAATTATCTTAGTTCTTTCATTTGATCTCCCTTGAAACTTGTAAAAGTAAGTAAGACGTTTCGTTAATATCTAAAGCTATTTATGAGGAATCTTATCGACATTTATATTTACTACACAGTGCGATTCAAACTTTAGGACATATGTGGAGCAACTATGCATATATACGTGCAGATGGACTTGTGAACATATAAAAATCGTTTATTGCGCCGTGACTTGCACTAACTTCACAGCCTCAATCAAGTTTGCATCATCCACATACTTTTTGCACAGATGCTTAGTTTTGATAGTGTTTCCCATTCGAGTTATCAATTAATAGTACAGTCATTTGGTAGTTTTACCTGGAAAGTTTTCCGGGAGTTTCGTTCCGTCAATAAATAAATAAATTCAGTACATGAAACCCGTTAAAAACTAGTTTTATTTAATACGAATTTCTTTCATAGGGAGCATTGACCTCTAATGAGAAGCTGACAGCATTAGGAAAGTCACTAGCGAATCTCCCAGTAGAAGTGTCTTTAGCCAAAGCGATTGTTGTGGGTAGTGCTACACTTCCACCACACAAGAGGGATTCCGCATTGGCACTGGCAGCCGCTTTGGGAATCAGGTCTATTTTCACTACGAGAGCGCACAGGGATTTTGAATGCGAGGTAAGAAAATTTCTTTTTCATCAGTTTTGTGAAAATTTATTAATTATACACTACATTGCATCAAATAGTTCAAAACAGAAAGCCAAGTACATAGTTAGCAAAGGTGGCCTTATTTCTAAAAGAGATGTCTTCTAGCCAACCTAGGTGGTGTCGGAGATTCGAAACTTGGAGGGAAACAGAAAGTGATAAACAACTTAAACCATATAAAATAAATATAATGAAAAATATACCTACCTTTTATTATTGTATAATAATACACTTCTGGACACATCTATTGGCCCACCTTAGAGTTTAGGTTTCGATGGCCCCTACCGAAATATGATTGCTAGATTGAACAAAAACTGTTGATGCAGTTTTAAACCTGATACATTTTACCATCTTTTTCGATCGTATTGTTTTAAATTTGAATTCAGAATACCGTACGACATGGAGCTACGCCTAACAAGTCGGATATGCGCCTTGTTAAAGGCAATTGATTTTTGAATAAAATACATGTTTTATCAAATAAAGGTTTAATTTAATAACGCGTGTTGCCTCCATGGGCCAACCACAGCTCTCATACGATTAGGCATAGAGTTTATCAACCGCTCTATGAAATTTTGAGGGATCATCTCCCATTCCTCTTCTATGGCAGTTTTCAACTCCTGCATCGTCTGGGCAACTGGCTGACGAGCCCTAACACGTCTTTTTAGCTCGTCCCATATGTGCTCAATGGGGTTCATGTCTGGGCTTCTAGCTGGCCAGTCCATAACTGTGATGTTCACATCCCGAAGATATTCCCTGACGATGCCGGCCGCACGGGCTCTTGCATTATCATGCATAAAAAGGAAATTTGGGCCCACATAGTCCGCGTATGGTATCACGTGAGGTTCTAAGCACTCACGAATGTACCTTTCAGCATTTAATGTTGGCAGCCGTGGTCCTGTAACAACCTCAAGTTGAGTTTTGCCGCTCGCGGATATACCGCCCCAGACAGTCCATGAGCCACCGCCATAAGCAACCCTCTCTTCAAAGCAGCATTGTGCGAAACGTCGGTAGACCTTCTTCCTTCCATCATTGCCATGTAACACAATTTTAGACTCATCAGAAAAGAGTACAAGGCTCCAATCTTGCTATGTCCAATTTATATGACTGCGTGCGAAATGAAGGCGCGCTGTTCGGTGGGCTCGCGTTAGTTTGGGCCCATTAGCTGGCTTGTGTGGTACCATATCGCGTTCTTTTCACCTTCTCCGAACAGTTCGAGCGCTCACAGATACTCCGTGGAAGTCGCGAAGTTGGTTGTGTATCTCAATGGAGGCAAGGTGACGATTTCTCAAGCTGGTCTTCACGATGAATCGATCCTGCCTTTCAGTTGTGACCCGAGATCATGGCCTTCCTTGGCGACGAACAAAGCCGCCAGTCTCTAGGTACCTCCGATAAACATTTCGGACCGCAGATCGACTTAAATTAAAATGAGCACTCACGTTTCTTTGGCTGTGTCCGGCCTGAATAAGTGCCACAGCTTGGGCGGCGACTTCAGGTGAAGTATCCATAGATTATTGATAGAACCTCACCTTAATGTTATTTTTAGTATTCGATTGTTTGATATCAACAAACAGGCTCCAAATTGTCTTTTGTTTCTTTAAATTCTGTGTTCGAAATTCAAAAAAAGACTATTGAATGAAATTGTGAATGTGCCAGGTTCAAAACTGCATAAAAACTTTTTGCTCGACCTAATATAAAATTTTAGCTAGGACCAAACGAAACTGAAAATACAAGCTGGGTCAATAGATGTGTCCAGAAGTGTAGTTTAAACCCAAGAGTTTCTGTGTGCTGCCAAGTTTACTAGACTTTTCTATTCAAATCTGTTAAACCTAATTTTGTGGTTGATATTTAATACCTATGAAATCCAATAAGTCAGGGATTTCACCAACAAATGGTTTTTATTTATTCTACTTAGATTGTTACGAAAATTTTATTCAGTGAGAAGGCGCGGCGAGGGCTTTTACCCTTATGTTGTCGAAGTTCCTCCCATTCGTAAGCTATTTGCTTCTGCTTTCATTATGCGAACGGCTAGGGAGTGAAAATCCTTGCCGAGATCTGTTTTCCCGGACCAATATAATCTGGACATCTTCAAGGCCAGAGTGAATAGGCATCGTCTAGTCAGGCGTGTACCATCTTAGGCCTCATCATCGCTTTCCATCAGGCGAGATTGTGGTCATACGCCTTGCCTATTATGCATTAAAAAAAAGGAGTAATTTGATGATTAAAAAGAATTATTATCTTTCCTATAAAGAACGCAAGAAAGCCCGATGAATCAGATCACGGGGACCCAATTACTCTTCTATCTTTGTACTGCGCGTGGTTAACTGTGAAGGCAGAAAATCGCGGCGGTCGCGCGTGGTGCAAACGTCGAGGTATAGAGGAACAACGGCTTTACGAACTCACCAAGCTGGCAGCTCAACTCAGGGGATTGCTGCAGGTATTTGAACTTTATCGTCTTTGTCATAAGGTTCATATTACTGCTTATTGGGCATGGCTAACTTTAAACCACCTAAGAAAAATAAAGCTCTTATTACGGCTTACTAGGTAGGGCTTACAATGATAATGAAGTCTGGTGTTAGCGTCGTGTTGTTACTAGGTAGGGCTTACAATGATAATGAAGTCTGGCGCTAGCCTCGTAGTATAGAAGATCAACGGCTTTACGAACTCACCAAGCTCGCTGCTCAACTCAAGGGATTGCTGCAGGTATTTGAACTTTATGCCTTACGACATAAGGTTTTTATTACTGCTTACTTTGCGAAAATTATAGTTAAGACGGATGGTGCAAACGTCGTAGGAACAACGACTTTACGAACACACGAAACTGGAGGCTCAACTCGGCGATTGCTGCAGGTATTTGCACTTTATTGTCGTTGATATAAGACTCTTATTACCGCTTACTGGCCGGAGCTTATAGTCAAAACGGAGCTTGGTCGCGACATAAAAAAGCAACGGCTTTACAAATTCACCAAGCAGGCCGCTCAACTCAGGGGATTGCTGCAGGTATTTGAAATGTAGTATCTTTGACAAAAGGCTCATAAGGGCTTTACAAACCCACCAAACATGCTGTTCAACTCAGGGGATTGCTAAAGTTATTTGGACTATCACATTTGTGTAATCCATCATCACCATAACAGATTGTGTCCGCACCATTCGGGCCCAGTGCGGCTTGGTGGATGCTAACGACTGCAGATGCAACCGGGGCCAACGGCTTAACGTGGTTTCCAAAGCACGGAGGAGTTCGAGTTAATAAGTTTTTGATCATGACCATGACCAAGACCATTGCAAAAGATGCTTAACTTTCACGTTCGTATGCCGAATACCCTAACTATCTGTGCCATCGAGCTCCTCGCTGATGTCTCATCTCTCTATGATGTGCAAACTTAGTTAAAATTTTGTTTATATCAAACATACTCGTTCACAGGACAATAATTTGACAGAGACACCAGAACCGGAATCTATGTCGTCAGCCGAGCGGGCGATGCGACACGGCCAATTGAAACAGCTGAAGGATATGAGAAGGTATTCAATTTTAGAACACCAGTGCATAAAACTTATCAATTTATAAAATAAATAAATAAATAATAAATAAATATTTCCAACACTCACACCAATTAGCCTAGCCCCAAAGTAAGCACTGTAAGGCTTGTGTTATGGGATACTAGGGTAACGGATAGAATACATATACTGTACATATATAAGCATATTTATATAGAAATACATATTAAACATCCATGACTGGAGTACAAATGCTCGTATTCATCACACAAACATCTGCCCCCACCGGGATTCGAACCCGGGACCTCTCGAGTCGGCGACACCATGAAACCCGGCGTACAAACCACTCGGCCACGGAGGTCGTCAAATGAAATTTATGAAAAAACGGAACCCTTATAGGATCACTTTGTTGTCCGTCCGTCTATCCGTCCGTCCGTTTGTCAAGACCGCTTTTCTCAGGAACGCGTGGAAGTACCAAACTGAAATACATATCTAATACTCTTGTCTGTTGTCCCTTTGAGTTGTGAAAAAATCAAAGCAATCAAAAGATACAGCCGTCAATTCAATTTCCGAAAAATTTCGAAACTCGCAAGGGAATCATAACCTACAGTGTACTTCCCGTGAACTTAGAATCTTGAAATTTGGAACGAAGTAACGTCTTATAGTATAGATAAAGGAAAAATTGTGATATGAAAACATTACAGGAAATATAAACAGAAAGCAGCGGAAGACTCCAAACGTAAGAAACGTCTAAAGGTCGATTCTTGGGAGATAGTCGACGACAAGGGTGAAGACGACACGATGGATATCAGAGACATAGAGTTCCGTCTGTCCAACGACGCGGGCAGGATACGTTCCTTGATCACCGGCGCGAGCGCATCCAGTGGGCGGGACCTTATTACCTTGAAGGTAGGCATCTATAATTTGAAAATAAACAAATTGGGTGTACGTAAAGTCGGTTTACGGACGATAGTGTTTTTTTCGTGATAACGTCATAAAGAAACATCGATGAAAAATTATCGTGCCTCTCTATCGCTTGATCCGCGCACACACCCGACCCTTTTATGAGTGTAGCTACCCTAAACGGAATAATAATCCGTTGCGTTGCTTAAGAGAGTCAGCGGATATACAGAAACCGAAGTTTATTTATTTTATACTATTTAAATGAGGTAAAAGTGACGAACTTTGTAGAAAAAAAGGAAAATAAAATAAGATAAAAATATTACCAACACTCACACAAGTAAGCACTGCAGGCTTGTGTTATGGGATGCTAGGGTAACAGATATATACTGATACTTATACAAGTATATATAGAAATACATATTAAACAGCCATAGCTGGAGTACAAATGCTCGTATTCATCACACAAACATGTGCCCCCACCGGGATTCGATCCCGGGACCGCTGGAGTAGGCAACATCTTGAAACCCGGCGTACATACGGCTACGTCAAATGTTAAAAATGTTTTCTACTTATCTTGTTAAACTCTGAAGTGTCACAGCATTCGTATTTACCAACATCCTATCTCTTTCCATTATAGTATGCTTATTATTTTATTTCAACAGGTAGTGTTATGCAGAGCCTTATATCCCCAAGTGGCAGTAGCTGATCAATTCAACCATTGCAAGGTAATATATTTATTTCTTATGATTACACGCACTCTACTCATTAAATTGAACACTTTTCAACCGGTTTAAAATGCGTTTTCAATACTTTATACATATCTCTACTTTTCGCATTCTTTACAGGCTGCGTTTTCAAGAGTATGATTTTTATTTTAAAGTATTTATTCAAACACGTATTTTAAAACCATTGAAAAGTGTTTTATTTAATCATTGCAAGGTAAGTTTTGTTTAGCAAACAGCTTCCGGATTTTCACGTTAGAAAAAGAATTTGTTTTCAACATCCACAGAAAAAATTTCACAAGATTCACTCTTCAATAATTAATTTCTTGCTCAAAAAATGTTGAAGTGAAACTTCTTTAGGCACACTTGACTTGGGGGGTAAACTGGCGAATGTGTTACGATTTCGAGTTACGATTAGTGTCATCGGTGACTCATCGATAAACAATGAACAATACCCGTCACAAAATACTTGAATGTAGTGCTTGGTGGGTGATAACGGACCCAGCGTGGATTGGTGGATGATAAAGGACCCAGCGCGGATTGATGGGTGATAACTGACCCAGCGCAGTTTGGTGGGTGATAATGAACTCAACGCGGATTGGAGGGTGATAACTGACCCAGCGCAGTTTGGTGGGTGATAATGAACTCAACGCGGATTGGAGGGTGATAACGGACCCAGCGAGGATTGGTGCTTTTTTTCTATCAACAAATCTTCAGGTTGTTTATGATTTTCAGATCATTGGAGCTAAAGAAGTTTCACTTCAGTCGTGTGGTCGTAGGCACACTCGCTTTTTTTGTTGAAAAATATATACCATTCAAGAGTAATAGGGTTTATATAAAGAAAATTTTGAGCCATATTTTAATTACATGCATATTGCCTATTGTCTCTATGATGTTTGTATATTAAATATGTAATATTACTTATTTTCACCATATTTTAGTCGATATCCGAGCAACTCTACCATACTTGGAGTAAACCGTTTGTGTACCTCCATCCTAATTCTTACTTCGGCAAGCAGCCCCGGGTGCTGCAGCTAACCGAAGCGGACATACAGACGGACGGGCCACCCGGCTATAAGAGCAAACTGCCACTATCGGCTAAACATCAGATACTGTGCTACTTGTAAGTTGTATTGGTCAACTAAATCAATAAACATCTATTTATATATCTAAAGAAAAGTTTACTAGGAAAAAAATCCACACAGACCCGTCTGCTGCACGGACCGCATGGAATTTTTTCTAATAAAATTTTGTGTAGATTTATAAATCTAGCAGTGAAATGCTTTAGATAGATGTAATATTAATTATTATGTTTATTCGAGAAAATTGAATGTTTTGACACTTACACCCGGTTTCTGAGCGGTATGTTTAATTATTATCAATTTAACAACGGTGCTAAATCCTTTTGAGTTTCTGAAACGGTGATTAGCGATAAATTCTAGATACCCAAAATGGCGCTCGCTGTACCTAACAATATTTTCAATAAATTTAACAGCTCTGTTGACTAACGAAGTTATTTGTTCAGCTTCTCAATAGGATATTACAACCATTTTTGAAAGTTTATCAATTAAATTCTAAAAAGTAAAATGCTACTATAAAAACAAAAGTGCCTTAAAAATGAGTTTTAATATAACATTTTCAAATTTCGCGCGTAGTAAAAACGCTGGACGCAGAGGACGCCATATTACTCCTGCGGTCTTGATGTCATTAGTACTGTAAATAGATACGTTACCTTGGTTACGAAAACGTTAAAATTACTGAGTTGAATAATGTGGCGGCTACTACGTCTACTATTTCATAGTGTTTTTAAAACATATTAAAAAAACTGAAAACTGAATTGAATTTGAAAATGATTTTTGTTATTTTATGAACTGAAACTAACATTTTCCGACTCCTTTTTGCCTAAAATATCGCAGTTATATATTCATAGATTTTTTCTCAAATTACCCTATTGTGACGGATTTTTAGTTTACTTTAAATCTGAACAGCCTTTCGGTAACTGGGTGGTAGAGTCGATAATAGCTCGCGCTTATTTTTTCTGTGTCTAATGAGTAAATTCTTGATAGATAGATCTTTTTCCTCTATCCAGCCCAAGAGGCTATATAATTTTGATCGTTTGAAGATTATACTTCCACAACAAAGATTAATTTCAAGGGATTATCACCTTTAATTGACAGCGCTTAAAGATCTTTAAATTAATAAATCATAATTATAACTTCTGCCCAATATATATATTTATTACCCGGCTGCGCAATGCAAGAGCGCGAAGCGCGACGCGCAGACAGGGTTATGTGTTTAACAGTCTATATATGTATGTTTGTTCCTTTGTGGCACACTAGAGACCAAACGCCTGGACCGATTTTGATGATTCATACATCAATCGATTCGTCTCAATCATGGGAGTGCTACTAAAGATATGATAATAATCAAATTTCAATATGGGCAAAATTAGGCGCCATATTGTGACGAAGTAAAAAAATAAGTTGACAAAATATGTCGAGTGGGGTATCACTGTCTAGATAATCAAAAATCATATTTAGGTTCCTAACACCATTTTTTATTTTATATGATTGTTTAGGATCTACAACGTTTTAAAGTTGTATGTTAACCACTTACGCTTTTAATTTCAATTTTACGTTTGTATGGATCTTTGTTACTCTTTCACCTAAAAAATACTGAATGGATTTTAATGAAACTTAACAGTAATATAGCTCATATATGATAATTACATATATATAATAATTTATGTAGTTATTGAGTGAATTGGCCAATATATAACAATAAGTGTCACATAAGACGTTTGTTGAAAAATATTATGTATTCTTGAATATCTAATGGGTCCCGACTGTTAAAGTAGCTTTGTTCCTTATTAACAGAATTATAGACTACTGGACTTGTTTTTTTCTTTTCAGTTTTTATTTGAAGTATAATTAAGCAGTCGGGTTTTTTGATTTTTTAAATTTACCTTTTTTTTATAGTAAGTGTATTTTATAGTTTTATGATGTGAAATTGTTAATATTTTTAAAGCATATAATAGTTTATAAAATACAATACACATCAAGGTAATTATTTTCCAGATCACTACTAGAGACTACGAAACCTTACATAGTGAATTCTATGAGAATGCCGGCTGCTCAGACGCTCTTGTTACTGTCACATTCTATCGACACTAACTTGGGATTCACCAGGTATGTTATTTTACGAGACTTTTACTTGACACTGGACGATTAAATGTCTTTTTTATTTTTTGCATCAATTACAGTATTTTTAAACATCTAATTACAATAACGTTTGTGTGAGACTGATGCCAGCGCTACATACCTGTGTTACAAGTCATCAGGCTCCTACCCCACCACCTCGAATTGCCAAAAACTATAAAGCATGATCAGTAAGTACCCTTAGCACGAACCAATATCGAATTCGTTACGTTTTCGAGTCCGAAATGTCATTGTCGAATTTTGTATGAAAACTTGAAAATTAGCGCCATATCGTACGTAAAGAAAACTAAAAATCAGTACACATTTGAAAATGTCATTTCAAACGTTATGAATTCGATATTGGTTCGTGCTAAGGGTACTGTACCCTTACTGATTTTTAGTTCTCGTTACGTACTTTGTGGTGCTGCTGTTCAAGTTTCCATACAAAATTTGATATTGACATTTCGCATTCGCAAACTATTTGCATTCGATAAGGGTTCGTGCTAGGGGTACAGGACATACTGATGTCAAAATGACAAATAGATAATACGAACAGCCATGTGAAGTGTTATCATTATTCTAATGTCAGAGCAAAGAAAGTAATAGCATCAAATACGGGAGTGAGTGTTTTATTTGCTTACAGAATGGTATGCGACTCGTGGCTTTTAATAGAGTTTCCGTATCCCGACACGGGTCTGAACCTGTTACTGAAGGCAACCAAACTAAGGCAGCGATGGGATGCGCTCATCAACAGGAGATTAGCAGGTGATAATGTTTGTTTGGTTAACCTATAATCAGATTAATCAGTGATTAAATAAAAGTAGTTAATAACTTTTCACTTATATAGTCATAAGTTTTCTAAGAGTTACCTTTTTAGGAGCTTAAAAATTACGGTTTCTTGCGGAAAATGTATAATTACTCTTAAGATTTTTTTATTATGGATCATTATCGGTGCACCAACATGTCGTCAATCGATTGTAGTATACGGAGAAAAGAGATAAAACGCATCACTATGAATTAAAAAAAAAAACGATTGTGCTTATGACCACACGACTGAAGTGAATATATATATATATATATTTATGTTTGTACAATATATACATGTCATATACATATTTCATTAACTAGCTATAAGAGAAAGAGAGAAAGAAATTGTGCGCGCGCACTGCTTTCTCTTGCTTATATCCCCCACTCAACTCCCTTTCGCCTGGCCCGAACACATTTTGGGTAACGCGTAACGCATTCGCCAGCTTACCCCCCAAGTCAAGAGTGCGTAAAGAAGTTTCACTTCAAATGAATTAAATAATTACCTAACGTAGGTACACTTCAAACATACCACCTTGGGCTTTGGCTAGATCTAAGATATGGTGACAGGGTAACCCGTTTTGACAATAATTTTATTAATGTAAAATTCTCTCTTCATAATAGACGCAGATCCCAACAAAAGCGTAGAAAGCGAACTACAAAAGCAAAGCTCCAACGTTTCTTACGAAGAGCTGCAACACCAGTTATCCTGCGACATCAGCTCTTATATGAACAGTGAAGTTTATTACACGCTAAAAAGGCTTTTACCAGGCGATTTGAAAGTTATATATTGTGGTCCGCCAGATGAACCGCATGCGAATATAGATCCTAATCCGTTCGAACAAGGCTTCGAATGCCATCCGCACGAGAAGAAAGGAGGCGTGTATGTTACGGATAACATTGTTTACAATTGGTAAGTGTGATTTTTTTAAAGTGAATCTTTTATAATATTCATTATATAGATTGATAAACAATAACTGGTAGGTAAATTCCTTGATCCGTTGACGATGTTGACAAAGTGGGAAAATATATTGTAGTAAATAAAGACTTACATACATTTTCGACACCTTGAGTCGCGAATGCTAAATGGCAGTCAGCTGATAAAATTAGTTAACTATGGTCCTCTTTTAGTTCCCTTGATAAACTATCTACGTCCGTCCGTCCGTTATCCGTTCTCACAATGTCATTTTATGCATAGAAAAGACAATACGAATTAAATAATCCTCATTTTATTTTAAGTTGTGCCTCCGTAGATATCAAATACCGCGTTCCACCTAGACTCAATGCAACTTTGTACTATGAATTTGAATTTTACCAAAAATGTATGAAACATAATGTCTATGTCACTAACCTAGATTCCAACATCCAACCGCAGTGAAAGTATGGAACACAAAATATCTGTATCTTGTAAGTTAATTAATCGTATTTGTAGGTTTATACCTATTCATCGTGACGTCACATCCAAGCGCTGCAAAGTGGCTATTTTTTGTTGTTAATAGGCTAATGATAATTGAAAGAAATTTTCATTCTGTTTCAGCGTCGTAGACACAGATTGGAGTTACAATTTTTACCAAGAGGCTTATAGCCTCGCATGGCCTTGTCCAGACTGCGGCATTACACTATGCCTGTCCCCTTTAGAAAGAATACAGCACAAGGAGTTTATGTGCTCCTCCAAACCTGAGATAGAACAAAAGGCCGTCAAACCTGCAAAGGATAACAGACCTAATGCCAAAGAGTATAAATGCGAAGGTTGCGGCAACACGCTATCGTTGACTCCCGTTGAAATATTGAAACACAAGAAGAGTTGTAAGATGAAATAAAACTTTTAAGGATTCGATCGTGTTTTATTTATGTGTGTCTATTAAAGTGAAACTCCAAAACTTCGTATATATATAAACAAAAGGTCTAGTATAATTATGATGTTCCAGGATATGAACTGGTTATGTGATAAATATGAAATAATTTGAATTGCGAATTTGACAATTATCAATGTCACCCCAATCAATCGTTTGTAAAAGTAGCCCAAAATAACAAATGTCATTATAAAAAATAAAGTCACGTCTTTGTATATTTTTTGGTGGATTTACCAAAGAAAATATCGTGTCCATTTTTTTTGACAATCTAACTGAAAGACTAAATAGTATTTTGTTAACTTTACCCCGTCGTCAATCATACAGCGCCAAAAGATTTACTGAATAGTGAGTGCTACCAAAACAAAAAAAAAACAAAATGATCCGTTATGAGGGGATGAGGGTAATGTTTTTTCCATACAAACATTGTCGACCGATTTCTCCTAAATTTTTATCACTAAACAATTGATTTTCATACATCTATCTATACCAATATTATAAAGAGGAAAGATTTGATTGTTTGTATTGAATAGGCTCCGAAACTACTGAACCGATTTGAAAAAATCTTTCACATTTAGAATCCTACATTATCCCTGAAAAACATAGGCTATAGAGTATTTCCAAAAAAGGGGTTGCGTGTGAGAACTTCTATAATGTAACCCAGCGTGTGAAAAAAATACCAAAAAATAACCTTTTCCTTTTGTCGCTTACGCTGCTGATGCCATTGATAATAGAGCAAAGTGATGTACTAAAGTTTACAGAGAACATGCATATCTAAAAAAAAGTCCGTAATACCATATGTTTAACTATTACAGTTTTGTCACAACTAGAGATTTCCTGCGGTTTCACCCGCGTTAATTCGAGGAAAAAGGTTATAGTGAGTCATACTTAAAAGATGGACATAGTCATATTTTTCATTGATGTTCCGCTCCTACTCGTCGTAGCGTGATATTAAATAGCCTAAAGCAGTATAGTCTTGTTATTAATATTGATGGATGAGGAGCAAGAAAATAATAAACATCGCAAGCATAAAGTCTGGGTTGAAGAAAAAAAGATGAAATTTCCTATTTCCGTTCAAAATCATTATTTCTTCGCAATTCAGCATGATACTCAGTATCGCAAGTATCAAATAATTCGGATTATTGTTAAACTAACGATAAAAGTAGTTCTGCCGGTTCGCATCAACGGAGAAAATGACCTCGCCGAGCGATGCGCCGACGGATTCCGCCGGGACCCGGTACACCCCGCCACTAATCGACGCAGTTCCATACAAAATGTATAGCAATCGGATTTTTGCGTTGCGATGCAGCCCGCCTGGTGAAGGCTAACCTTTAGGAGACATTTGAGTTTTTAATGATAATTTTAGAATAAATAGTAATCATCAAATTAGCCCTGGATTTGAAATTCGCCTCATTTTATGGTACTTATTTATTTGATTGAAATTGGAAGATCAACTCGCCCTGTTTATACCTACCTAGTAATGTTTACATTCTTTGTTACACCTATAGACTTCTATCGTCCGTAACCTTGTCCTATGGTTCACATTCGATATTACACACCAATTAAGTGTAATTATGTGTTTGTCCATATGTCGACCTCGCTCTGAAACAGTCGGGCCAATTTGCTTGTCGGCCCAGGAAGCGCGTGATGTGAAAATTACATACGGAATTCGGTGTTTTAACTGCACACGAAATTCGAACTTGTGACCTCAGATTTAAAGCGTTGATTCTATCATTTGGATTTTTTGTTTGGAAAATCGATCTTTTTTTGTAAAGCGTAGAGAGCTACTTACGATAGGTAGATAGTAGATACTTACTTGTAGCTCTATTAAAATTACATACCTCCATAATTTGTTTATACATACTTATTTGTAGCACAAATATCATACAGTAGAACCTAAACCGAAGGCAAATTGTACCTGCACAAAAACGTTAGAAATAATTATTTATATATTTTTTTTCTAGTTATAATTTCTTTAGATTTAAACATCAAGCAGTTACGTTCTTAAAAAATAAATTAATATAACTATAATTACTATTTCTTTTTTCAAATTTTTAATACTTGTAAAAGTATTCATTTGACATTGTGGGTTACCTACAATGCGAAGAGATGGCGCTGCCTTGCAGCTTAAGAATGGCTAGAAGAATTTCGAACGCGGCCATCAGGGCCGCGGTGGCATAATTGGTTAGTGCATTCGCCCGGGTAGCGAAGGGTGCGGGTTCGAGTCCCGTCTGCTGCCTGGTCCGCGTGGATTTTTTTCTAGTTATATTTTCTTTAGATTTAAACATTAGAAATAAATAAAAAAAAATATTTTCGCAAGGGCAACTGAAATATAAAAGTGTATGCTTTTCATATAAAAAGCGTTGATGTCTATTATATGTTTTTATAATTCATGTACAAATTGAAAAAATTGCATCTTTTTTTTATTATTCAAGGCCTCACTTTGCTGTTTGATAGAACTTGCAAAAAGGTTCCGATGATTACCCAGGGTCGAAGTCAAATTTGTACAAGATTACAGGCACTAAGTTGGGGCTTGCTGCCTTCGCAGGGCTTCGCGGTTTTAGCACTATGATAAATATAATAATATTGAAAAAGGGATTTTTTTAATGATCTTACAGGGTATCGAACCTATTTGTGCAGACACTAGACAGTTCCTATTTAATTACAAAGCTACTCATACCTGAACACAAAACATGAATGGGCAAAGTTTTTCCTGATAGTGCCAATATTTATTATTATAATCTATGGCGGTCGCCCCTATATAAAATACGCCCCATAATTTTCTGCGACGTAAATAAGTAGGTACCTACCAGGTTCGGCAGAAGGGTTGTCCTTGTTGGAATATGTGACAAAATGATACTTTTTGGTAAGTATCTTTGATTATTGTTTGATGACTGCGGACCGGAATTCGAGGGCCGGAGATGACCCTCGGGCCGTAGATTGCCCATTAGAATAACTATTGGTTTACAAATGGCTTAGAATAACTATTTATGCACTAAACAAGCAGCGATGCTCTCGACTCCACTCCTCACTCATGAACTCAACTCTTGAAAACGGGTGGTTAACATTTGACCCCCGCGCAAAATTGATACGCCTATTATAGCAACCTTACTCACATTGAAATAGAGGTGGTTTTCCAACATTCGTTGCCGGGAAAGGTTTGCAAAACTTAAAGGATGGCTGTCAACCCGTCACACGGTCTGGGGTCGGAAGCAGTAGGTAACAGCATCTGCGGCGCTGTTGTTTTAATGAAATTATAAAGTGAAACTAAATCGGGGTGCGCCGATGCGCGATTAAACGAATTCGTGGCTCGTCGAAAACGGAATGAGCTTTATTGGGGGTCCGTCTGTTCGTCCAACTAGCGCCGAGTCGTGCTGAAGACAGGACTACTTACTTGGCTATGTAAATGTTAAACTGTTTATAGCGTTTATAAAGAAGCTTATGAGATAGTGTACATACTGGATTTATAGTAAAACCGGTGAGCAGGTGAATGAATATTGCTAAAGAAAAAAATATAGTGTGGTTGTATGAAACCAATGAAGTAAGTAATATAATTAATAAAAAAGTCCTTTCTAGGCTGCGAATTGATCCCGGGCCACCCGAGTAACTAGTGTGTTTTTTACCACTGAGCCACTAATGCTTTTTGATAAGGTCTGATTATGCGACAGACTTAAGATGAACGAAAATATTGTGGTGATTTAATAAAAGTTTCACCTTAAAATTGCGAGCCGAAGATTTTGTTGCATTTATTACAGCAATCCAACATTTTCATAATTTCTAGTTTCCTTCTACTTTCACTATTGTTATATTAAAAAACAATTTGCACATAGGTATTTGATTAAAATAAAACGTGAAAGTTTGGTTCGATGCTTTAAAAAAAGTTTCTTTTATGACAAATCCATGGATCTATACTAATATTATAAAGAGGAAAGATTTGATCATTTGTTTGTTTGTATTGAATAGGCTCCGAAACTACTGGAACGATTTGAAAAATTCTTTCACATTTAGAACAAATCTTTCGGTATCCACGATCAACATAGGCTATACTTATAATAATTTCAAAAATGCCATTCAAAAGTATGTGTGATAAAGTGATGAATGTGTACAAACCACTGCATTACTGGAAAGGTACGTTTAATAGTTAGGACCGATGTTAAGGGGAGGTTTGTATGTTTTTTCTCTGTATCTGTATCAAGTCTAATCGCGGCTGTGGCGCGATAGTATAAATTTAGTGCGTGAAATATAGGATTTTATAGAAAGTAAAGCCAATTTTTCTAACCAGAAGTCAGGAGAGTTGTAAAACTTTTCAATAAAGGGAACTGTCTATAAATAGTCTACAACCTAGGTAGATTTACCCAATATAAATAAATAAATAAATATATCCATCACTCACACCAATTAGCCTAGCTCCAAAGTAAGCAAGCTGTAAGGCTTGTGTTATGGGATGCTAGGGTAACGTAAAGAATACATATATCTACTGTACATATATAACTATATTTATATAGAAATACGTATAAAACATCCATGACTACAGTACAAATGTTCGTAATCATCACATAAACATCTGCCGCCACCGGGATTCGAACCCGGGACCTCTCGAGTCGGCGACATCATGAAACCCGGCGTACAAACCACACGGCCACAAACATCGTCGTCAAATACGCCGATTTTAAACAATATTCGCAAAATTATGTTTTAAAACTCAAGTAACAGTTGCAGATATAAGTACCTAGCTACTTATATTTTTATCTCTTAACTAATGTCCATCGGGCTGCACGTAAGTCACGAAGTCTAATCTGTGTCGTAGTCGTAGCATCGATCGTGTTTAATAAGTACTTTTGCCTACTGGACGTATAATAATAAAATAACACGGTTTCAGTAGTAAATAAATATAAGTTAAATCGAACAAATCAAATAAAAAGTAGATAGGTATAAAGCAATATTAAAACTTTGGAAGGATTAAGCATTTGAATTAAGTTAATA